ATCCCTGGCATCTGCCATTTTACTGTCTCTATGAATTTGACTACTCGAGGTACCTTATACATGTGGAATCATACAGTATTTGTTCTTTTGTGATCTGCTCATATCACTTAGGGTAATGTCTCAAATTTCATCCATGTTGTAGCATATGTCAGAATTTCCTTCCATTTTAAGGCTTAATACTATTCCAGTGTATGTATACACAACATTTTATTTATTTACCCATCCTTCAATGGACACTTGGATTGCTTCCACTATTTGGCTATTATTAATTACTAGAGGCCCAATGCACAAATTTGTGCACCAGTGGGGTTCCTCAGCGTGGCCTGCGTGATCGGGCCAAAACTGGCTCTCTGACATCCCCCAAGGAGTTCCGGATTGTGAGAGGGTGCAGGCCAGGCTGAGGGACCCTACGTTCGAGACCAGAGAGGGACTTGGGAGGTTGGCCAGCTGAGGAGGGACTGCAGGAGGGCTCCAGGGTGTGCCTGGCCCATCTCGCTCAGTCCTGATCGGCTGGACCCCAGCAGCAAGCTAACCTACCAGTCGGAGAATCTGCCTGATGGTCAGTACACATCACACTGAGCGGTTGAACGGCCTTAGTGTCCCATTAGCATATTACGCTTTGATTGGTTGAATGGATGGCTGTAGCATATTAGGCTTTTATTATATAGGATGCTGCCATGAACCTGGGAGTACAAATATCTGCCCGAGTCCCTGTTTTCAATGCTTTTGGGTTTATACCCCGAATGGAATCGCTGGGTCATATGGCAGTTCTATGTTTAAGTTTTTGAGCAACCACTATATTGTTTCCACACCATTTTACATTCCCACCAGAAATGCACAAGAGTTCCAATTTCTCCATATCCTTCCTAACATCTATTTTCTTTTTCTTTTTTAAGTAATAGTCATCCTAATGGGCATGAAGTGGTACCTCATTGTGGTTTAAATTTGCATTTCCCTAATCATTAGTGATGCTGAGCAACTGTGCATGTGTTTATTGGCAATTTGTATACCTTCTTTGGAGAAGTTTCTATTCAAGTCCTTTGCCCAATTTTGAATTGGGTAGCTTGTTTTTTTTTGTTGAGTTCACAATTATTTTGTAAAATGAGAAGGTTTCAGGAACACAACAGGTTTCTAGGGCATGAGAGTAAGTGTTCATGAAAATGCTAGGGTCTTGAGGAAAAGGGCAGAGAGAGGGAATTAAAAAATATTAAAAGTCTTACCTTAGGAAAGAGTACAGAAAATACATTCCCAGATGGCAAGAAATATTCAAGGTAATGAATAGCAAGAACCTACGGCCAAAAATAATCTACCCAGCAAAGCTATCACTCAGAATCGAAGGCCAGATAAAGAGCTTCACTAATAAAAAAAAAAAGCTAAAGGAGTTCATCACTGCCAAACCAGAATTATATGAACTGCTGAAGGGGGTTCTTTCGGAAGAGAAAGAAAATAAAGATAAAAATTATGAACAACAAATTCGTTACTATTAACAAGTGAATCTAAAAACCAAGGGAATTAAAAAAAATCTTTGAACAGTATTAACTGGTGAATATAATAGAATCAGAGGTATGGAAGGGGAGTTAACTGTCGATTCTCGGGGAAAAGGGGAGTGGGGGGTATGGGAAGAGGCTGAACATAAACTGTGCACCTATGGATGAGGACAATGGGGATGGGAACCTGGTGGAGGGGAGCAATGGAGGGGAAACAATGAGGAACATTTGTAATAATATGAACAATAAAGATTAAAAAAAAAAAAAAAAGGTGGGAGACAACCAAGATGGCGGCATAGGGCAGACACCCGAATGAAGCCTACCACAACAAGTTTGAATTTAGAACTGAAAAACGGGGGAAACATCACCCTGAAGCGCCGGACAGCTGGCTGAAGGGAGGCTCTACCATCTGGGAAGGAGAGAGAAGGCGCGCTGAACCTCAGGAACTGTGAAGGTACGGAAACTGTGTGCGCGAAAAGGCGCTGGCTTAATCCCGCTGCGGAGAGGAAGGACTGAGACTGCTGCAGGCTTACTCCCTGCACGCAGAGAGGGCGGGCCGGGCTGAGTTCGCTACTGGCTTACTCGTGGCGCGGAGAGGGCGAACAGCTAACGCGGCTGGCTTTCTTGTCCGAGAGGAAAACAAAACCACCCTATTGCGCTGACAGAGGCCAGTCTGTCAGGCAGTGGGCAGAGATCTCTTGGAGGTGTGTGAAGCCAGCGGCCATTACTGCGGGACTCAGAAACCAGGCCCTCATAGGGAGGGGCTGAATAAAGCTTGTCTGCACCACCCAAGACTACGCCCCATCCAAGCAGAGCATAGAGGCCCTTCCAGTGGCTAGCTTCCTCATTCGCTACCAATAGGACTCTCTTAGGGAGGGGCAGACAGAAATCTAAAGCTTGTCTGTGCCTATACCAAAGAGGTGCGCGCACCTACAACCAATTGTGTGGGATTCAAGAAAGCTTGTCTGTGCCACCCCGAGACTCCGCCCATCCAAGCAGAATACAGAAACCCTCCTAGCTGAGACACTTCTGATCCTCATAGTCAACTGGCTTGGAGATCAACGCTTCCCAGTGATATAAGCAAGGCTTAACAACAAGACTGCCCACCCATCCCACAAAGGGCTACACCAAGACTGCCCACCTCAGGTAACTGGGAGGCTGACTCACTAAACCATATAGGACACCTTAGCACACAAAGCCACCCTACCAACTCAGGAAAGCTGTGAAAATGCCAAGACAAGGAATTAGATCACAAACAAAAGAAATGGAGGAAAAGAAGAGACTGGATATAGAGTTCAAAACCATGCTTATAAGGTTTTTTAAGAATTTCCTAGAAAAGGTCGATAAGACTTATGAGGAGATGAAAAGGGATCAACAAGAACTAATAAGGAATCAACAAGAACTAATAAGGGATTAACAAGAACTAATAAGGGATCAACAAGAAATAAAGAATACATTGTCTGAATTAAAAAATATTATACAGAGTCCTAAAAACAAAATGGAAGATTGCAAGAATCAAGTCAAAGATTTGGAACATAAAGAGCCAGAAGATACTCCTCCATAGAAGCAAGAAGTCAAGAGAATCCAGAAAGTTGAAGATGATTTAAGAAACCTCTGGGATAACTTCAAGCGAACCAACATCAGAATTATGGGGGTCCCAGAAGATGAGAGAGAGCAAGATATCAAAAACATACTGAAAGAAATAGTGACAGAAAACTTCCCCCACCTGGTGAAAGAATTAGACTTACAAGTCCAGGAAGCGCACAGAACTCCAAACAAAAGGAATCCAAAGAAGACCTCACCAAGACACATCATAATTAAAATTCCAAGAGCAAAAGACAAAGAGAATATTAAAAGCAGCAAGAGCAAAGCAGGTAGTTACCTATAAAGGAGCACCCATACGATTGTCAGCTGATTTCTCAACAGAAACCATGCAGGCCAGACGAGAATGGCAAGAAATATTCAAGTTAATGAATAGCAAGAACCTACAGCCAAAAATAAACTACCCAGCAAAGCTATCACTCAGAATCAAAGGCCAGATAAAGAGCTTCACTAATAAAAAAAAGCTAAAGGAGTTCATCACCACCAAACCAGAATTATATGAATTGCTGAAGGGGGTTCTTTTAGAAGAGAAAGTAAGTAAAGATAAAAACTATGAACAACAAATATGTAACTATCAACACGTGAATCTAAAAACCAAGGGAATTAAAAAAAAAAATCTTATGAACAATATTAACTGGTGAATATAATAGAATCAGAGGTATAGAAGGGGAGTGGACTGACGATTCTTGGGGAAAAGGGGAGAGGGAGTTATAGGAAGAGACTGAATATAAACTGTGCACCTATGGATGAGGACAATGGGGGGGGGTGGGAACCTGGTGGAGGGGGAAAAATGAACTTTTGTAATAATATGAACAATAAAGATTTATTTTTTTAAAAAAGGTGAAAAGCATAACAAATTGAAAATAAATAGCTCTTAAAAAAGAAAAAAAGAAAAAAAGAAAATACATTCCCAGGATTCTGAGCTCATTTTAGTAATGTAGTTTAGTAACCTTGTGAGTTAAATAAGCATTGGTGGCCACACTGAGAACCTAACCACTATTTAAGAACATTAGTGCCCTAACTGGTTTGGCTTAGTGGATAGAGTGTCGACCTGCAGACTCAAGGGTTCCAGGTTCAATTCTGATGAAGGGCATGTACCTTGGTTGGGGGCACATGCCCAGTAGATAGTGTGCAGGAGGCAACTGATCAGTATTTCTCTCTCATCGACATTTCTAGCTCTCTCTCCCTTTCCCTTCCTCTCTGTAAAAGACCGATGAAATATATTTAAAAACAACATTACTTATATAAAAATGCAGTCTTATAATCCTCTAATTAAAAGAATTGGTATAAGTGGAATACTATGCTGCTTATAAAAAGGAACATATACCAGGAGGGTGAGGGCATGATGGGGGGGGGGGGGGAGAAGGAGGGCAAGGGGGTAAAAGGATACACATGTAATACCTTAATCAATAAAGAAAAAAAAGAATTGGTATATAATTCATATATTGTATATGTTTATGACTATTTCTATAATATACTAAACCTACACTTGGAAAGTAGGTTGTTTATATTCATGGATAACAAAAATAATTATTATATAATGGTTTTAAATGGGAATATAATATTTTTTAATTACCCAGAGTTGATATACATAAATCACTTGTGGTATCTATAATAATAAAAGCATAATATGCTAATTAGACCGGAAAGCCGGGATGACCTGAAGCCGAGCCCCTTGCACGACTTTCATGCATCGGGCTTCTAGAACCATTATAAGAAAGTAAACATGATAAAGGGCTATAGAATACATAATCATGACATAATCGATAGAAACATGAAAACAAACCTGTCATCTGAAGATATAGACAAGGGGTGCAGAAAAGGAAGGATTACAGAGAAATTACTGAAGCAGCTAGAGAACACAGTGCTACTGTCCGCTGGTAATATGTAACCAATCTCCAAGAATAATACCCAGTTTAAAGTATGTAAGTTTTATTATTTTTAAAGTAAACATTTTACTTAATTGATTGAAAGTGGATAAACTATTGGTAAAATGTTACATGACCTAGGTTAGATAAATATTCCATATTATAGATGTAAAGTATGATTATATATTTGAAAAATGATATTATTTTAAAGTATATCCATGGTTATTTTTAATGTTATGTACTCTATAATCTCTATACATAATTGATAGTTAAGAAAACATACCATTATCTAAAACAGAACAACAGAACTTTCACTAACACGAAACTAAAGATGAGCTTTCCATTTCTTTTCAGGATCCGTGTTGCTAACTGTAGAAAGAAAAATAGAGTAAATTTTTTAACAGTGGATAAGTAAATTCACTGGATTTTAAATTATTTTCTGGCTAAAAAGAAGCATTCATTCCTAAAATAATTTTGTTGCTCAATATAAAGTTGGTATTTTTTTGAATATTTAAGAACAATGATGAAGCTTCTACAGAAGATTCAATCTTTGAACCAGTTGATCTTAAGGATTAAACTTTTATAAACATCTTAATTTGGCAAATTAACCTAACACTAGTAAACAATTGTATAATGACTGCTTTAGTATCCTTGAGTTAACTACCTTTGGGACTGCTAAAACCTTTAGCTGTTCCCAAATCTTCTACATGTAAAATTCTTCGTAGATCTTGTGGTCTAGGACAGTGGTCTGTTGACTACTGAGTTTGCCGACCACCGAGTAAAGCATTACCCTTATCCAGAAGTTTTGACTTCAGGTTAAAGACATCAGTACATTATTAAAATGTTTTTAAGTGTTTTTCCCATAAGGCAGTGGTCAGCAAACTCATTAGTCAACAGAGTCACAGTTTGCTGACCACTGGTCTAGGAGAAGAGAAGCTATTTTCCACTACATGTCTTTGACTCATTCTGGTGGGAGAGGTCTGGGACCTCTAAGCAAGATTCTAATTCCTGTGCGAGTGTTTGTTTCCCATGTGTGGTCTACTGGCCTTTCATTATTGACCCTTTCTAGTGCCTGTCTCTTTAACTCATAGTGTCATTCAAGGGAGGACTCTACTGGGTGTTATTTTTCCTAAAAGGAACAAGTTCATTTGTAAAAAAAAAAATTTAAATGCTGGCAGTAAAAGAATTAAAATTCAGAAGTACACTTACATATCATTCCATCTTTTTCTAATTTTTTCAAATGAAGCAAGAGATTACGTTCAGCCACGACATGTAAATTCTCAGGAGTATTCTTAAAAAAGAGAAAGAAAACATTTTTTTTTTTTTAAAAAGGGCAGAGTTAATCCTTTTGAAACTGAAAAAATGCAACAAAAAGAAAATTTTAACTTAGTTTCATTAATTTTTTTAAATTTTAATATTGACACTATTATAAACGTCTCCCGTTAAATTCATTTTTATATAGTAATAGCCAAAACTATTTCAGCTTGTCCATGTCTTGCTTCAGGCACCGTATTCTTATTTATATTCCTATAGATAAAATAGATTATAAGTTCCATAAAGATAGTAACAGTATGGTTTGCTCAATACTGAATACCAGAGCTTAGCATAATGGCACACAGTAGGAACTAAATATTTTATGAATGGATGAATATATATATAAAAGTTATTCTAGATAGCTTTGGTGTTGCTACAAACATTGGCCCTATGGTTTGTTTATTAGATTATATGATAATTTTTCACATTTAGTTTTCATCTGGATACTTTTCTTTGGTCTTCTCTTAAACACTGATGGTCACAGTGTGTTGTACCATTGACTCTCTTCTCTCTCTTTTTGTACTCACCTGAGGATATTTTCCCCATTGATTTTAGAGAGAGTGGGAAGGAGGGAGGGAGGGGTAGAGAGAGAAACATCAATGTGAAAGAGACACATTAATTGGTTGCCTCCTGCATGCGACCCAACCAGGGCTGGGGATTGAACCTGCAACCAGTTCCATGCCTGTGACCAGGAATCAAACCCAGGACCCTTCAGTGGAGGGGCTGATGCTCTAACCATGGAGCCACAGGGGCCAGGGCTCTTCTCTTTTTTACTAACCCAACTTGCCATAGCACTATCACGCATTATTGATTCCCAAATATAAGCCTCCAACCCTAAATTCCCCTTTAAGCTCCAGTACCATAGCATATCACCACCAGTGTGATCTAGAAAGCATTATGTGAGTCCCTTGCCTAAGATCTTTGAGTGTCATTCCCAGGTTTCTGGCTAAAGTTCAAATTTGTTAGCATGGCAATCAAGGCTTCTCATGACCTGATCATGCTTGTCTTTCCCAACTCATTTCCTGGGCTTACCCCCTTTCTGACCATCTATTATGCATTCATATGTGGTTTCTTTGTGGGATTTGAAACACACACAATGCTCTTTTATTACTCCCAGTGTTTAAACACATCTTTCCTTCTGTTTAGACCCAATTAAATGATTTAAGTTTCTGAAGCTTTTCCAAAGAAGTCTCATTATCTTACATCTTCATCAGAAGAATTTATCTCATCCCTTAGGCCCTGACATACTGTACGTAGGCCTTGGAGGAAGCCTGGTGTGATAGAAACAAGATTTGAGTTTCTGATATCAGACATTTGAATATGTGACATCTGCTAGTTTTGTGCCCTTGAAAAAGCTACTTAGCTTACACTTTCTGAGTCAGTTTAAAAAATATTTTTATTGACTTGGGAGGAAGAGGAAGAGAGAGAGAAACATCAATGATGAGAGAAAAGCATTGATTGGCTGCCTCTTGCATGCCCTCCAGTGGGGATAGAGCTCGAAACCATGGCATGTGCCCTGACCGGGAATTGAACAGTGACCTCCTCCTGGTTCATAGGTCAACTCTCAACCACTAAGTGACACTGGTCAGACCTGTGTTGGTTTTTTAATCTATTAAATTGGAATAGTTGTATCTTTATGCAGTAAAAATTTGAGATATTTGAATTAAGTGCCTCAAATCACATTTGTAAAGGTAAAGCATTTAAATAGAGCATCTAGCACACAAAAATGTGCTAAAAAATGGGAGCTATTATGATAGTATTACAAGCATGTGTTGTTTTAAATATATTTTATTGATTTCAGAGAGGAAGGGAGTGGAAGAGAGAACCATCAATGATAAAAGAGAATCACTGACCAGCTGCCTCCTGCAAGCCCCACTTTGGGGATCTAGCCCACAACCTGGGCATGTGCCCTGACTGAGAATCACACTATGACCTCTTGGTTCATAGTCAACGCTTAACCACTGAGCCAAAGCCGGCTGTTTTTTTTTATTTTTTATTTTTTATTTTTAATGAGTGTACTTTTCCTTTCCATCAATACAACTTTGGGTTGACCATGAACTCAGTCCTTTGAGGGCAGGGATCTGTAGCCATCTTTATATCTCTGTTTTAGTCAGTGTATGGCACATGGAAGGTGGACAATAAATGTTCGTTGAATGAATAAATCCTTCGAAATACTTAATGCCATTCTATTTGAAACAGGTATTTCACACATAAACACTGTGAATACACAACTGAATACAATTCTGAATGCTAAACCAGTATTTAGGTATGGACAGGTACTGATAATGACTCAACTGTGAGAGTTATCAGAGAGTTCTGTCTGAACTTACAATAGAAAATACCCGCAATAGCCCTAGCTGGTTTAGCTCAGTAAATAGAGCATCGGCTTGCAGACTGAAGGGTCTAAGGTTCGATTCTGGTCAAGGGTACATGTCTGGGTTTTAGGCTCTATCCCCAATAGGGGGCATGCAGGAGGCAGCTGATCAATGATTCTCATCATTGATGTTTCTCTCTCTCCTTTCCTATTTGAAATCAATAATATATGTATAAAAACCCCCAATGTACCAATGAATAGTCTCAAGTGACTCTAGTCTAGCATGATAAGGGAATGCACTCTTTCACAGAATTTAAATATTTACATTACCCTTTTGCCAACGGCAGTCTTTTATCCTTAGCCAGTCTCACCCTTAATCTGTCCCTTTTCTTTCTTTTCTTCTTCTTTTTCATCCCTCCCTTTTTAAAACAAAGCACACTGAGTGATGATCTTTTTTTGATAATTTGGGCCTTTAGGATATTATGGCCCCAGCCTAAATGTAATTGTCCCCAGCTCATCTTCAGGTACAATCTCATGTATCTTCTGGCTGTAGATTGTGGTGGTGGGAGTTTTTAAACCCAGGTAATATAACACCAAAGTCTACATTCTTAAGCTCTAAGCTATACTAACTATACAGTGGTATCTAATAAATATTCTCTGAAAAACTGAATTACACTAATTGACTGCCACATACTAGTAGGGCTGCCATATAGTGATATGCTCAGAGGCCGCAGTGAGGGGTTCTCTCCATGCACTAAACTTCTCTACTCATGTTCCTTAGATGTACTTTCTCCATTGTCAGGCATCGCTGCTAGTCTACACTGCTAGTATCCTAGTATCTGTCTCCAGCAGATTGCCTCTTCTCAAGATGGCTAGACCAACACACAATTTATTCCAAAACTTCATCATCATGCTGTTGGGAATGATCTTCTACAGCAGTGTTTCCCAAACTTTTGACATATGTGTACCCCTTCTATAATTTTCGTAATGCTGAGTACCCCTTGTACTCATGAGAACGTAGAATTGGGTGCAGTTAAGCACAGTGCAGTGCATATCCCCACCAAACTCCAGTGCAACGCGTACCCCCACCAAACTCTTCCTGTACCCCTGGGGGTACACGTACCACACTTTGGGAAACACTGTCCTACAGAATGAAGTGTATGGTTTAATGGTAGCTCAGAATGGTTGTTTTTGTTCTCCAAGTTTTGTTTAACTTCTCTATCATAGATAGTTGAGGTTTCAAAGCTATACAAGTAGCATTACTTACAAGATTAACAGACTTATTCTGTTCTGGGATGTGGTAAGATTTTTATACCTATAGTTTATTCGATTACTCTAATAAAATTGTGACTATGTACAAATAAGATTAAAAATTACCTTGTAAATAATTTTTACAAGCTCCTTTACTGTAAATGATTTGTCAAAATTTTCATGAAATATTTGAAGAATCTGCTGTTCTCGAATATTTCTGTGAGAAATGTATTCTTGGATTTTAGCTTCAGCATTATGGATTACGGGACCATGTCCTGAATTAGAATAATTATAAAAATTATTTCCACCAGATAAAAATATTAAGTATAACTGGAATTCATTAATTTTATTTAAAAAGAATTCATATGATGTATTGAAACAGCATACTAAATACATAACAAATAAGAATTATTTGGAAAACTATATAGATACAAGACTTAAAAATTACCTACAATGCCACAAAACATTAGACAATTATATCAAAACCATATAAAATGCTACTGTGTACATTAAAAAGTATAAAATAAAAATAAAGCAATAATAACAGGAGCAATAGTAATGATATATAATATTCACAGAGTACTTACTTTTTTTCCTTTTAATCTTTACTGTTGAAAGTATTACACAGTTCCTCCTTTTCCCCCATTAACCTCTTTCCACCCTCTCCTGTCCCCCATTTCCTCTCCAGGCCCTCACCACCCCATTGTCTGTGTTCATAGGTTTTGCATATTGGTTGATCTCTTCCCACCCACCTACAGAGTTCTTCTTCTTTGCCAGTCCGGCTCTAAATGCTACATATTATTTTTTACAAGAATCCCAAGAGCTAGGTCCTATTATTATCCCTTGTTGGTAGCAGAAACTGAGGCATAAGGAGGGTACCTAACCTGCCCACAGTCACACAGCTAAGGAGTGGAGCTGGGATTCTGACCCAGGAGCTTTCATCCACTCCAGTTTCTGACCGCTGCGCTACACTTACCTATAGAAGTTGACAAGGGGAATGTAAAAGTAGGTCCATGGAAGTGATGCTATTAAAAACTCACAGGAATCACAGTAGAAATGTAAGAATCTTTTATATAGGATTGTAATTCAGAAATGTTGACAACCCGGATAAAGTTATATTGAAATTTACATGCTCTTTTAACACAGTGCAAATTAATATATTACACAAGTCTGCCAGAGGGATGTTTAAAATATGCGAGGAAAAAAAATGCAGAAGCAGGCTAACCTATTATCATGTAACAAGCACGAGCACCACGGTACTGTTAGAAGACTGACCACCCTTTAACTAGCTGTCTGGCTGCAAAAGTCTCTGAACTGTTTCTTTAGCTGTGCAATTAGGACACCACTACCTACTGCCCTGGGTTTTTGTGAGGACCACAGCTAGCTGGAAAGGTCCCTGCAGGTACCGGATGGGGAGCAGGCTTTAATATATGGTAGCTATGGCTACGGAACATAATTTACATAAAAGCTCCTGCTGAGCTAATAAGCCAGTTCGCTGGATTCACCAAAACTAACACTCTAAGGGCCTTTCCTGGGCAGCCTCTCGTTAGCTTTGCCTCTCATTAATTTTGTGAGTGCACCAATTCTCTTTGCTTTAAAAATAGCGGTCAGCTTCCATTCCTTTTACGTCATAATACTAGAGGCCCAGTGCACAAAACTTGTGCACTGTGGGGTGGTGGTAGTGGTGGTGGTGGTGGTGGTGGGTCCCCTCAGCCTGGCCTGTGCCCTCTCACAGTCCAGGAACTGGGCCTCCCTTTTTGGGGTGATTGATTGTGGAGTCCCCTCCCCCACCACTGATAACCCCACTGGCCAGTGACCTGGGCCTCCCTTTTGTGGGCAATTGTGAGGTGATGGTGTGCCCCCACTTCCCCTGACCGATCGCACTGTACCCGCCTTGGCTGGCCTGGCGCCTATGTGTGTCATAGCGTGGTCGGCAGGAAGGTTGTTTTGCTGTTTGGCCACTTGGTCGATTTGCATATTACACTTTTATTATTAGAGATTAATCCAAATCTCCAGGGTAGGTTTTCTATCTCTTCAGCAGTAAAAACTCATGAGAGAATAGGAGGGTAGTAAAGATACCGTATTTTCAGATCTTTCTATGGCTCTTTGGTTAGGAGCAAGTTAGAAGGGCTTAAAAAAAATTAAGTAATCTAGTCTTTTTTTCCCCTTCTGGGCCCTACTGTTGGGTCCTGTGTGTTTTTTAGCTTTCAGGATGGAGTGGAAATTCATATTGCAGAGCAGTGCAGTGACATCTGAGATACTAATGACAGGTTTCTTTATCTGGATAATCAAGATAAATATATGATTTTATAGTTCATATGGAATATGTTATTGCAATAGTGTGAGTTAAAACAACTAAAAGCTCAGAGGTCAAATGTTACCCATGGTTACATGGCTAAAATGTGGTCCATGACAGAAATCAGGTTAACAAAATTGAAGATCACTTATGAAATGAAAAAATTTTCTTGTTATACTGTAAGTTATTTCCTTGTTTAATAGTTCCATTAATACAATAGCTGTTTAGATGTTAAAAAATAGCCCTCATATATTTATAAAAAGTTATTAATATAAATTGTGGCCTTTAAAAAAATTGCATGGCTAGACAGGAGCTAGGGTTAATAATTTAAAGAAGCAGTTTACATGTCTGACTTCAAGGCCAAAAACACAAAGACCGCCTCCCCCACCCCCACACCAAAATGAACCTTTCTCATCATCTGACACAATGGTTTACCAGATTTAAAAATTACCCACCTGGATATATAATATCAGCTTTGATTTTCAATAACTGTTTTAGGGAGTTCATATAATCATAGAGGTCTTCAAATATAGTTGTTCCTTCCCCTAAGATGCAATCTCCAGAAAAGAGAGCATTTTCCTCTTCTAAAAGTAGAGCCATATGATCATCAGTGTGGCCAGGTGTGTATATAATTCTGGTTGGGAGAAGAAATAGAAACAATTATGAACTCTTAAGCTTAGAAGGAATTTTGAGAAGCAAATTATTGTCTATCCTTACCTCTGAACAAGACACTAATAATGTCAGTAAGTTAAAAAGCTACTTTTTCTCTTGTTGCTCACTGAAAATTATCACCAGACATTTTCTCCCTTTAATAAAATCAAATTTCTCACTCTGAAGTGCAAATTTAATACTTTACCTACATTTTTTTCTTATTTTATAAGTAATGAATACAGCTTACAACAAGCTTGGGCGGGGGGAGAAGGAAAGTACTTAGAGTAGATAAAAATCACTAATCTTTCTACTACATAGAGATAGTGCTTTTATTTTTTATGAACATATATATTTTTTGCCTTGGCCGTTGCTTCTCAGAGGTTAGGATGTTGGCCCGCACAGTGAAGATCTGCCGGTTCAATTCCCAGTCAGAGCCACATACTTGGGTTGCAGGTTTGCTCCCTAGCCTCATTGGGGCACGTGTAGGAGACAACCAATCTATGTGTCTCTCTCACATCAATGCTGCTCTCCTTCTTCCTCATTAGCAACTAAAGGCTCAGTATTTTCAGTGGATAACTCTGCCAAACACTTAAAGTCGGATAACTGCGCTTCTACTTAACCTATCCCAGAGCATAGAAAAAGAAGGAAAAGTTCTGAATCCCAAACCTGACAAAGGTTGCACAAAAAGAAAACTATTGCCTGATCTCACTGATGAACACTTAGGAAAATCTTAACTAAAATATTAACAAATAGAATCCAAGAACATATTTAAAAATAATATCATGATCAAGTACAATTTATTAAAATGATGTCAGGATGTTTCAATTTTAGGAGATCCTTGCAGATCATAATAAAGCTATGGAGAAAACAAGGTCATCTCCTAGACACTGCAAAGACATTTGACAAAAATTCAACTCTTAAGAAAACTGAAGCGACTATAACTTAGAAGAGTATTTTGTTTGCCAGAAAATCCAATCAAATCCTTAATGTTAAATATTGCAACTGTAAAGCTTTTTAAAAGAGTCTGCTAACAATGTAAGAGATATAAGGTATAAGAACATGAGATACTCGTGAAATGGGAGCAATTATTTTTGAGAGACATTAAGAACTGATTTTAGGAACTATTATGCTTTTATGGTTTCCAAGTATGTGCTTTACATATGTCAAATGATTACTATATTTAGTAATGGTGAGGTATTAAAGAGATGTTAAAATCATTTTTTTGTCTGATTAAACCTGCTGCAACCAGTTAATGAAAGTATTCTGTTATGTGAAAATAATTGCAGGAGATACATTTCCAGCAACTATAAAATTATGTGGTGTGGGTATCTGTCTTATCTTATGAATAGTCACGCATAAATGTGTTTACAAATGGAAACTCAACTTTTTTTTTAAATCTACATATCCTCTCTTGGAGAACCATTCTTTCAGGGTCTGCAAACTGCCTTATCCGTCAATGTGCTTGTAATGCCTCCTTAATTATTCCCCTCCTACTCCCCACGCCAGAACTCAGTAATGGTTTTCTTTGATAATTTCCAGACTGAAGGCAATAATATTTCTTAAATTAGGGGATCAGAACTTCCAACCCTCCAGTCACCTAGGTGGCTAATGCTTTCATTTGCATAAAGACTGTGTTAAAATTTACTTCACGTAGGCGGAGGAGAAAAGGAAATGACATCAGAGGTGCTTTGCTAAAGATCAGAGGAACTGCAGCTGTGCCTCCCATTCATCAGGTAGAGCATTTATCTAGTTCTGTGACACAGTAGACTTTATTAGAATGGCCCTCTTAAAAAATTTAGAACAGTCAACAAAAACTGTCAGATTAACTTTGAGAACTTGAACTTAGTTCACTAGAAAATTCCTGAGCGTTACATCTAGAATCCTTACTGAAAACCTTGGTAACTTTCTACTTTTTCACTAATGGGTTCTTGGTGGGTACTATCTCTCTACTGTTTTTTTTTGTTTTTTTTTTTTTCCTTTCAAAATTGGCAGGTAGACAAGATAACCTGGATGTCAAATATTTGGGACTTAAGTAAATTTTAACCTTCTGTTTATGGAACTTTTGCGTAAGAACGAGCCTGTGTGTTAATATTTAAAACTACTGAATTTTACTGACTATGAACATGGAAACTGAAAACCACATCAACAGTTTATTAAATGTTTAATTCGGATTTTAGCATAATTGGAATTTACATTTTACTAGATCATAAAAAGTGTCTGCTTTTAAAAAATTCTTTGTGTTAGTTTTCCCCTCAAATCTTAAAATAGATACCCATACTTAACTTAATCAGAATGCAGTACAATAAAAATTAAATGGAATTCACATAATATTGAGATCCTGTACATTAGTTCATCCACAAATCAAGATAGTATTCAACTGAGGGGGTTGGGTAGTGACAGGAAGCAAGTTCGTGGGTGGCTCTAGCGCACTGATTTCATTTCTCATCTGCAAACTGCTCATATGGTTTATTCCATTTTTAACATTCCATTCATCTGCAAACTGCTCATATGGTTTATTCCACCTTGCACACTGATGATATACACACTTTCTGTTTGTATACTTTTAAAAGCTTAATGTACATGGTCTGTTCACAGCAGATGGGTGGTAGGTAGTTAACTTCCAAGAGTTCAATGGTCTTAATCTGCATTTTAGGTACAGATCTAATATCCATGCTTTGTGATAACTGATAAACCAGTACTGTGGTTCCCACACCTGAGAAAGAAGATTTGATGAGCTCTTTCCTGTTTCTACTTTCTTCTTTAACTTGGGCTAGGGCTGGTGTTTGAGGCGGGACATTCAACATTGTCAAGAATACTTTTTGAAGTAGTAATGCACTGTTTTATTTTCTGTGGTATCATCAATATATGATACTATATTTCACAGCCTCCCCACAGTCAGGAGTGACACATGACTGGATTGACAGGCAATGCAACAGAAGGCCTGGTCCATGTAAACCTCCCATGCAACATCTCTTCCACTCTCCTCCACGCACTGGACTGACTGTGATGAGCACTGCAATCTTGAAGGACAAGTATTGAGGATGGAGGAATCTGTAAGAACCCTGGAACATTAATGCAGGAGGGCCACTTGCTAATCAGGAACCGTTTTTTGAACTTTACCTGTCTGAAAATTAAACTTATTTTATATTTGAGCTATTATATATTTCTGGGTTGGTTTGCTATAGCAACTGACATTAACTAATACTAGAGGCCCAGTGCACGAAATTTGTGCAATAGTAGGGTCCCTAGCAGCTGCTGTTAGGGCCTCCCTCCCTTCTCCTGGCCAACTGCCAGCGCTGAGTTCTCCCTTCTTTACCCCACCCACCTGGTACTGCTGGCCGGGTCTCCCTCCCCCTGGCCGGCCCACCCCCTGATTGAACTCCTGGAAGAACTTGGGTAGAGGGGACAATTTGCATACTAGGCTTTTATTATAAAGGATTGTGAACCTAAGGAACTGATTACTTTTTAAGGAGATACCTACTTACACACCCAAAAATTGTAATTTAATAAGTGCTATGATAAAATAATAAAAATTACATAAAAGTTGGAGGAGAAAGCAGTTTAATTCTTTCCAGGAGAGGTCCTTTTTTTAAAAAAAATATTTTATTATTTTTATAGAGAGGAAGGGAGAGTAATAGTTAGAAACATTGATGAGAGAGAAATATTGATCAGCTGCCTCCTGCACACCCCCTACTTGGGATGTGCCCACAGCCAAGGTACATGCCCTTGACCGGAATCCAACCTGAGACCCTTCAGTCCACAGCCAATGCTCTATCCACTGAGCCAAACTGGCTAGGGCCAAGAGGGGTTCTTGAAGTAACATGTAACCTGAGGTTTGAAGACTAAATGGGTAATTTATCAGGGGGACAAGGTGGAGAGGAAGGGCTGAGGCCTAGTAAAAGGGAGGGTATGAGCAAAGGCATGAACAGACAGGATGTGTTCACGAGTATTTGGATTTGGCTAATTGTGTTTGTGAGGAGAGTGGTTGGAGCTAAGTCTAGAAAAGTAGTTTGGGGCCAGGCTGTGGTAAGGAGAATAAACATGATCTTGTATGCAGTTATTCAAGGTTTCAAGTGACAGAGCATACTAAGGGTAAACTGGAAAGGGAGAGCCTGGAGATTCCTGGCTTAGAAGTAGTGGTAGTGAACACAAATAAAAAGGGACAGCAGGGACAAATATATATATATATATTTTTAATATATTTTATTGATTTTTCTTACAGAGAGGAGAGGAGAGAGATAGAGAGCTAGAAACGTCGATGAGAGAGAAACATCGACCAGCTGCCTCCTGCACACCCCCTACCGGGGATGTGCCCGCAACCAATGTACATGCCCTTGACCGGAATCGAACCCGGGACCTTTCAGTCCGCAGACCAACGCTCTACCGCTGAGCCAAACCAGTTTTGGTGGGACAAATATTTTTGAGGTAAGAACTAATGTGATTAGCCCTGGCCAGTGTGGTTCAGTTGGTTGGGTGTCATCCTGTGCACTGAAAGGTTGCCAATTTGATTTCTGGTCGGGGCACATGCCTGGGTTGTGGGCTTGATCCCTGGGAGGGGGCAAGCAGGAGGCAGCTGATTGATGTTTTGCTCTCACACTGATGCTTCTCTCTCTCTCTCCTTCTAAAAAAATCAATAAACTAATGTGATTAGATGTTTTGGGCAAGGGGAGAGGATAAAGGTGAAGAGGAGTTAGCTTGTATCATAGAAGAAAAAAATCTTAAGTACTGAGAGAATTAGGAGTTGTGAAATCAGGAAGTCGAGACAGATGGTAGAGAGAGAAGAGAAGCATAATTATTTGAGTTTGAAAATTACCGAGTTGGAAACACCTTTTTAAATCCCTTAAACAGGTCATGGGGATTATGGGTCTGGCCTAAAATGTATTTACTTTAGGTATGGGTCATTTTTGGAAGTGAGAACAGGAGAAAGCCTTGAATTTTCTGGCAGGAAATTCTAATCTATTTTGTTATTTAAATTTTATTCATTAAGAAGTGGTAATCATGCCCTAATTGGTTGGGCTCAGTGGATAGAGCGTCGGCCTGTGGCTTGCAAAAGGTCCCAGGTTCGATTTCAGTCAAGAGCATGTACCTTGGTTGTAGGCACATCTCCAGTGGGGCGTGTGCAGGAGGCAGCTGATCAATGTGTCTCTCTCATAGATGTTTCTAACTATACCTCTCCCTTCCTCTTTGTAAAAAACTCAATAAAACATATATATATAAAAAAAAGAAGTGGTAATCATATAATTCAAACAAATAATTATAAAAGGGTAGAGGGAGAAGTGTTGCTTTTTCTATGTTTCTCAAGCAACCCATTTTCTCTTCCCAGAATAACCAATGTTATCAGATCTCTTATATTCTTCTTCCTGAGATAGTCTTCAGCAATACAAGCAAATATGTGGAAATCTTCCTTTCCCCCACTTTTGCAACACACTAGAGCCCCGAAGCACGAAATTCGTGCAAGAGCAGGCCTTTCTTCCCCAGCTGCCAGCACCGGCTTTCCTTTGGCACCTGGGACCCGGGCTTCCCTCCCAGCCCTGGGCAGCTTCGTCCAGAAGGCCGTCTGTTCTAACTGGCATATTACGCTTTTATTATTACAGACATACATAAACTACCCCTGCCCCCACTCCTTCCCTGGACAACTGTCATTTACATACCTGAGAGTGGCACCCTCAGTCTTAATCAAATCTCCATCTTTTAGATAAACATATTTTTGCTCTCCATCTCCTATAGTTTCTTCTGTATGAGGATTCCGTGGGAGTTTTTTAATGCAATATGGAGTGTCTAGTGACAAAACATGAAAAATATTTAAGTCACACTTTAAATGACAATTCAGCTTTTTAAGAGGCCAATTTTCTTAGAATACCTGTGAGTAGCTGCAAAAAATATTAACATTAGAGACAACAGAAAATGAGGGGAATTATAGCCGCTTATCTCTGGGATGGTAACTGTTTCTTTTAACTCAACAAAAGAGCTTTTTACTCTCTAATGCCCTCCTAGCTCTACATAAAGTCTTTGTGTTTTTGTAGCCACTCCTATTTTATACAAAATTCTTCATAATCTCAGCTAGCTTTGATATCAAGATGTGTGTTGAAGAGGGGGTAATACAAAATGTAGGAACTTTTCTCTGTCTAGGTGCCTAATATATAGTAAAAGAAGTCCTGGCATCATGCATTAGTTAATAATAAAATAATTATAATATAAAGCTCTTTCTAGAAATGCTGAGAGGAAGCCCCAAACCCAGGGCTAAGATATTAAAACATTAAAATAAATTTAACCCATACTACCTGTCATCAACGCAAAGAAAATCAATCAATTAATTAACCAATCAATAGCTGATTGCCAGTTATTTAACCAGTATAGTGAATGTAAGCACGATGACATCAAAATGCTTAAAAACTGTCATAGTTGGGGAACTAAAACTTACAAACAGGAAAGAATTAAACAACTATATACAGTACCATTTAATGAATACTAAATGGACAATTCAGCGTAAGCAAAATGAGGTTGGAGAAAGGAGAAACAATTAGGAGAGAATTCATAAATATGATAAAACTTGAGGTGTGGCTTACAGGATGAGCAGGATGAGAAAAAGGTTCAGACAGGTAAAAGGAACAGCATTAGTAAAGCCATAGAAATGAGAATGAACATGGCATATGGGCAACAGCAGAACACTACCAATTTGTTTAACACAAAATACTGGCTGCAAAGAGTAGAGATAAGTGGGTGAGCTCAGATCCTGGAGGGCCCTAAATTGCCTTTCAGAATAGAGGAATTTACACTTTGCTGTATGTGGTCCATGTATGCACTTTAGCGTCAACAGGTCGATCAATATGGCAGCTGTAGTGGTCAATATGGCAGCTGTTGTGATCAATACGGCAGCTGCAGGTGGGGAGCTTGGAGGGGGAGAGACTGAAAGACCAGGAGGGGATGATTGTAATAACCCTGCTGGAAGGTAATGAATATTAGGGCAAAGGTGTTAGCAATGGAAATGCCGAGGGAGAAAAAGACATTCCGAGAAAGACTAACAATGCATAGAAATCTGGCTAAGTATGGAGGATAAAAAAAGAAAGAAATACTGCAATATAATAAAAATAAAATAAACCAACAGCAATTGGATTTTCTCTCTCCACCCTCAAATTCCATTATTTTGTATTTTTGATGCTGAAGTAAGAAATAATATGCTATTCTGGGAACTGTCTCTATTATGGAGCAATATGGTGAGGTTTTTTTAGTTTGTTTTTATTTTTAATCTGTATAATTTTGTCTTATAGTAAAGAAGTGGAAGCATATTTCTAGTTATGAGACCTTTGACAGACAATATGTCCAAAAAAACTCACAATTATCTTAGAATTACAAAACACATGCCATACTATAAAATAATTTTGTGACAGCTTTAAAAAGTATCCTATCTAATAATCCTATCTAATAAGAGAGTAATATGCAAATTGACTGTCACTTCAACACACAAGATGACTGCCCCCATGTGGACAGATGGCTGCCACAAGATGGCCAGTAGGGGAGGGACCAGGTCTGCAAGGGAGGGCAGTTGAGGTGATCAAGCCTGCAGGGGAGGGCAGTTGGGATGGCCCAGGCCTGCAAGGGAGGGCAGCTGGGGTGATAAAGCCTGCAGGGGAGGGCAGTTAGGGGTGACCAGGCTGGCAGAGGAGGGAAGTTGGGGGCGACAGGCCCTGCAGAGAAGGGCAGTTGGGGGGAACCCAGGCCTGAAGAGGAGAGCAGTTGCTACATCTTTTGTGCCAAGAACAGTGCTGGGACATAGCAGCAACTTGAATATTTGTTAAAGGAATGCATGAATGAATGAATCTATGTTTGTGATGGTGGGATGAAAGAATAAGGAGAGAGACAGCAAAGTGTTAGTACTGGGAAAAGGGAGGGCAGTTGTGGGAGATACAGTATATACAGAGCAACTGTCTGAAAGTTATGGAAGACCTGAGATCATATTTAAAATATGGACAATTAACAGCAACTACTTCAACAGCGCCTGGCACACAGTAAATACTCAACAACGGTCAGTTACTATGAAATCTGAAGTAGTAACTGTCACACAGACTAAATGAAAACTGATGATCACTGGGCAAAGGGGGAAAATAAGAGGAAGAAGAGATTTGAAATAGATTAATAGGATTTCTACCTTTTTTCCTTTAAGTATTCAAGTTATATTAATGTATGAAAGTACCTTTTAAATATAAGGCATTCAGTCAATTGTTCATTAGCTAACTTAGCTATGTAATGGAAACAAATTATTCTGAAAACACAGGTTTCCTCATGAGCTGAATGAGTATATTCTGCTTACCATTATCAATGCTTTTACAAATATCTCCTATGCCTCCAGTATGATCACGATGCCAGTGAGTCACGATGATTTCCTGGATTCCTGTGTTAAATTCATTCAGAGCCTGCTTTAAACAGATGATATATTCTGGAATTGCTGGTTCTCCAGTGTCAATGAGGATTCGCCTGTAAGTTAAATAGAAGATGATCACACCACTGGAACACTTAATATTAGCATATTTCTCACACAGGGAATTTACATTTAAGAAACTGCATAAATTGCTTTACTTTAAAAACCAGCTATATGTTACTTCAGCTTAACTATAGAAATCTCACTTTAAGAAAGTTCTTATGTGGGGGAGATAAGAGATAAACGGAAGGACTTGTATACATGCATATAAGTACAACCAATGGACACAAAACTCTGGGGAGGGAAGGTATGTATGTGAGCGGGGGCAATGTTAAAATATGTACACAGATAATAATTTAATTAAAAAAAATTAAAAAAAAAAAGAAGAAAGTTCTTATGGCGAAATGTAAGAGTGAATAAGGAAAAGTCTAGGAGAGACACCAAGATGGCGGCATAGGGTAGACACCCGAATGCAGCCTACCACAACAAATTTGAATTTAGAACTGAAAAACAGGGGAGGCATTGCCCTGAAGCACCGGATGGCTAGCTGAGAGGAGGCTCTGCCATCTGGGAAGGAGAGAGAAGGCACACTGAACCTCAGGAACTGTGAAGGTACGGAGAACTGTGTGCGCGAAAAGGCGCTGGCTTACTCCCGGTGCGGAGAGAAAGGGCCAGACAGAGATTGCTGCTGGTGGACTCCTGGAGCTCGGAGAGGGCAGGCCGGGCTGAGTTCGCTACTGGCTTACTCCCGGTGCGTGGAGAGGGCAGACAGCTAACGCGCAACTGGCTTTCTTGTTCGAGAGGAAAACAGAATCACCCTATTGCTCTGATAGATGGCCCCAGACAGGGAGAGGCCAGACTGTCAGGCAGTGGGCAGAGATCTCTCAGAGGTGTGTGAAGCCAGAGGCCATTATTGCGGGACTTGGGGAGGAGCCCAAGGGAAAACAGTTTGTCTGCACCAACCTGAGACTCCGCCCAATCTCTGGCTGAGCACAGAAGCTCTCCCAGAGGCTGGCTTTCTCTAAGGAGGGACTGGCAGGAACCCAAAGCTTGTCTGCGCCTTTACCAAAGAGGTGCTCGCGCGCCTGCAACCAATCTTCCGAAACTCTCCGAGAACAGGTCTTTTCTAAGGCGAGACTGACAGGGAACCAAAGCTTGTCTGCGCCACCCCGAGACCCCGCCCTATCCAAGCAGAGTACAGAAGCCCTCCTAGCTGAGACTCTGCTGATCCTCACAGCCAATTGGTTTGGAGATCAAAGCTTCCCAGTGATACCAACAATAAGCAAGGCTTAACAACAAGACTGCACACACAGCCCACAAAGGGCTACACCAAGACTGTCCACCGCAGGTAACTGGGAAGGCTGTGCTACTGGGCTCTACCAGAACACCTAGAACACAAAGCTATTCCATCAAATCAGGGAAACAACTAAAATGCAGACAAGAGGTAGGAGACAAAGGAAGGAGATGGAGGAAAAGAAAAGATTGGACATTGAGTTCAAAACTACAGTTATAAGGTTATTCAACAATATCCTAAAAAAGGCCGATAAAATAAATGAGACCTATGAGGATATGAAAAGGGAGCATCTAGAAATAATAAGGGATCAACAAGAAATGAAGAAAACATTGTCTGAAATAAAAAATATTATACAAAGTCCTAAAAACAGACTGGAAGATCACAAGAATCAAGACAAAGATTTAGAACACAAAGAGCCAGAGGACACTCCTCTGCACAAGGGAGAAGATAAGAGAATCCTGAAAGTTGAAGATAGTGTAAGAAACCTCTGGGACAATTTCAAGTGAAACAACATCAGAATTATGGGGATTCCAGAAGAAGAGAGAGAGCAAGATACAGAAAGAATATTGAAAGAAATAGTGACAGAAAACTTCCCCCACCTGGGGAAAGAAATAGACTTACAAGTCCAGGAAGCCCGCAGAACCCCAAACAAAAGGAATCCAAGGAGGAACACACCAAGACACATCATAATTAAAATTCCAAGAGCAAAAGACAAAGAGAGAATATTAAAAACAGCAAGAGAAAAGCAGGTAGTTACCTATAAAGGAACACCCATACGATTGTCAGCTGATTTCTCAACAGAAACCATGCAGGCCAGACAGGAATGGCAAGAAATATTCAAGGTGATGAATAGCAAGAACCTACAGCCAAAAATAATCTACCCAGCAAAGCTATCACTCAGAATGAAAGGACAGTTAAAGAGCTTCACAAATAAAAAAAAGCTAAAAGAGTTCATCACTGCTGAACCAGAATTATATGAATTGCTGAAGGGGGTTATTTAGGAAAGTGAAGAAGATAAAGATAAAAATTATGATCAACAAATACGTAACTATCAACAAGTGAATCTAAAAACCAAGGGAATTAAAAAAAATCTGATGAACAATATTAACTGGTGAATATAATAGAATCAGAGGTCTGGAAGGGGAGTGGACTGACGATTCTCGGGGAAAAGGGGAGTGAGGGTACGGGAAGAGACTGAACATAAACTGTGCACCTATGGAGGAGGACAATGGGGAATGGGAAAAGGACAGAGGGTGGGGTGGGAACCTGGTGGAGGGGAGCAATTGAGGGGGGGAAGAGGATCACATTTGTAATAATCTGAACAATAAGATTTATTTAAAAAAAAAAGTCTATATATCCTATCTAATAAAAGAGTAACATGCAAATTGACCATACCTCTGATATACCCACAAGCCATGCCCACCAGCCAATCAGGAGTGAGTATGCAAATTAACTGAACCAAGATGGCTGCGGCCATAGAGAGAGAGCAGGCTTGGGTTTCCCTGGCAATAGGGGAAGACAAGCTTTCCACCTGCCCTGGCCTGCCTTGGCCTCCACTTTAGGCTACAAAGTTTCAATTATAGAAGTTAAATAAATCCCAACAAAAATGGCTGCAGCCACCAGTGAGCAGGAAGCTTGGCTCCACTCCAGGCTACAAAGTTATAGAAGATAAATAAATCCCAGATACCAGGGCCTCCACTTGGGGTCCCCCACCCTGATCCAGACATCCTTCGGGGCAAACCAGCCAGCCCCCACCCGTGCACCAGGCCTCTATCCTATCTTATAGAAGAATAATATGCAAATTGACCATCACTCCAACACACAAGATGGCTGCCTCCATGTGGACACAAGATGGCCACCACAAATGGCCAGCAGGGGAGGGTAATTGGAAGGGACCAAGCATGCAAGAGAGAGCCGTTGGGGGTGACCAGGCCTGCAGGGGAGAGCAGTTGGGGGAACCAGGCCTGCAGGTAAGGGCAGTTAGGGGTGACCAGGCCTGCAGGGGAGGGCAGTTAGGGGCAAACAGGCTGGCAGGGGAGCAGTTAGGCATCAATCAGGTTGGTAAGGGAGTGGTTAGGGGGTGATCAGGCTGGCAGGCAGAAGCAGTTAGGGGCAATCAGGAAGGCAGGCAGGTGAGAAGTTGGGGGCCAGCAGTCCCGGATTGTGAGAGGGATGTCCAACTGCCCATGGTAGGATCGGGCCTAAACGGGCAGTCAGACATCCCTTGAAGGGTCCCAGATTGGAGAGGGTGCAGGCTGGACTGAGGGACACCCCCACACCCCCATGCACGAATTTCATGCACTGGGCCTCTAGTATATGTGTGTGTGTGTATACACACACACAGGGCAGTGCTAAATGCACGGGGATAGAAAGATGTAACGAACTGAAGAATCTCAGAGAGAAGGGTGGAGGGTGGAGGGTGGGAAAAGATTAACTAAAGATCTTACATGCATACTAAAGCATGCCCAGTACATGGATTCATGCATCGGTGGGGCTTCTTGGTCTGCAGGAATCAGGCCGAATCTGTGCACCAGGCCTGATATCCCCCAAGGGGACCTGGATTGCAAGAGCTCAGGCTGAGAGACCCTACCAGTGCACGAATGTCTTTTAATTTAGTGTTAAAAAGTAAACAAACAAATAAATAAAAAAGACATACTCTCCAGTGGGAGGGTACTACTTAGCAAGCACCTAGAATCATTCTTCATGTGACATAAATGAAACTTCAGCTGTAAATTAGAAAAAAATGTTCTCAAATAGCAATTCTTTCAATGATGTCTGTGAATATTGCAGAGGATTAGATAGAGTTATCTCTATGTGGGCTGGTTGACTTAGTTCTTCATGGCCACAAGCAATAAATACTCTATCGTAGGAGGTCATTTTACAAATACAAGTTTACTAATAAAGGGAATAAGAGTGCAGGAGAATCTGTACAGGTTTGTTACCATTTATTCACTAGAGTACAGTGCTTGCATACAGTAACAATCTGCTATGTGAATACAGAAAAAATAACTGATGCAAGTTAGTAAAATCACCTTCCTCTTTTAGATATTTTATATTAATTTTAAGATAGCTATTAAATGGTCCGTCTGTCAATTTGCTGTCACTCTTACAAAATCATTAGGAATTTTCTGAGCAGCTACTATGAACCTAGAATTTTCTGGATGCTATGAGGAAAGCAGAAGTGATAAAAATAATAGCTAACATTGTAAGCTTCCCACATGCTAGAATTTGTTAAGGTGCTTTTGATATGATTTTCCATTTAAATTTCACTGAACCCTCATAACATCCTATGAGACAGATACTATACAAACCTCGTTGTATAGATAAGGAATCTGAAGCTTACAGAATCAACTGCCTTCTCCAAAATCTTAAGCCAGGACTGGGATCTAGGTAATCAGAGTCCAGAGTCTTAACTCTACTTCACTAGACTGCCTTTTCCTATGAATAGGAAATAGTATATTTGCTCTCAAGGTATTTACAATTTTGATAGTAAAGGTTAAAGTTGCAGTTTTCAAGAGGTTCTTAGGCAGAGAAGGAATGTGGACATACTCTATGGAAAGTTTGGTTATTATTTGTCCACTCAAGTGTTTATTGAGACCTATGTATTAGGCATCACAGTAGGACTAGTAGTGAGTGCTTTAGGGAAATTCATTTGGCATCCATGGGCTGTACAGAATGACGCTGGAAGACTAGCTAAAATTGCAGTTATCCACCAGTTTTGAAATCATAACAGAGAAAATGAAGAAAAAATGTAGAGAACACTCACTCAGCAAATATTTCCTATAATACTTCTACTGTGTACAAGGCTCTGTGCTAGTGGTGGGGATACGGTAATGAATAAGCCTTCATTGAACTTATATTGTAGTGGGGAGTAGTCGTGTGCTAAGCTTCATTTTACACACATACAAAAGTCATATTATTATCAAGGGCCATGAAAAGTATGGAGTGCTAAGGCAGTGTATTACATTAAACTAACAAGGGGTGAAGGGTGGCTTTCTTGAGAAAAATTACATTTTAACTGAATTCTAAAGGATGAGTGAGGTTAGCTGGGTAAATACATGGGAGACAGAGAGGAAAGCATGGACGAATGTCCTGAGCCAGAATGGATACAACTCACCTGGGTGTGATGGGAAAGGTTTGAGATTAGGTTGATGAGATGCGTGGGGCTGAACAATGAATGCTTCTAGTTCAACCCCATGCATTCTCTAGTCTGGCTACATGCAGGAGGATGAAGGATGGATTGAAGCAGAACCAGAGTAGATGGAGAGGAATCAGTTAAGAGGCGATTTTAGAAGCCTAAGCAAGAGTTGTACTGGCTTGGACAGGGTGATAGCAGTGGAAATTGGGAGGATCTTCCTAAATGGCTTGGCTGTGTGTGCAAGAAGCAAAGAAAAAATGTCGAGGAGTGTACTTAAGTATTTGGCCTTGATCAAATGTGAGGATGATTCTATTTATCAAGATAAGGACAAGTGTCTGGAAGACAAGTTTAGTGGGAAAGTCTGTAAGTTCAGTTTGGGAAACGAGTTTCAAGTGGCTGTGAGTCATCCAAGTGGACTTAAGAAAGCAGTTGGCTCCCTTGGTTTGAAGACCAAGTTTGGATATTGTATGAATTGGAGTGCTAATAAATTTGGGAGTTATTAATGAACAGATAACAGTTCAAACCAAGGAGGTAGACAAGATCAGGTAGAGAATACAGCACAACAACATAAGATGAGGATTGCACCTTAAGGGACTCAAACCCTTAAAAGATGTGGTAAAGAGGATGACTCTATAAAGGATTCTGTGAAAGAGCAGCTAGAGAGGTAAGAGGAAGCCAGGAGAAATTGGCATTAGTAGATCCAGAAGGAGTGGTCAACAATAACAAAAAAGACTGAAATTCAAATACGATGGGAATGGAAAAATCCATTGGGTTTAGTGATATAGAAGCCACCTGTGACCTTAGAACTGTTTTGTGCAGCGGAACAGGTGGCTACCAATATCAGAACCTCTTACTTGGACTCAATAACCACTTCGAGCCACCTGACTTCTACTTTACAGAGTAGCATCAGCTGTACATTGAGTTATCCTAGCTCAATATATGGACTCATCATCATCTCTCTCACATATGAGTGATTCCACTGGCCATTCCACTCCATGAGTTTACCTGAGTAATAGCGTAAACAGTGAAGAAGGGAGACTATGAATCTGGTCTTTCCTCATTCAGCTTCAGGTTCTTTACGTCTCTTTTAGCACAGACCCTTTGCTACACTGAATGTGATTCTGTTGTTTTAAAAGATGCAGTATGTAGCCCTAGCCGGATTGGCATAGTGGACAGACCATCGGGTTTCGGATTCGATTCTGGTCAAGGGCACATGCCTGGGTTGTGAGTTTGAGCTTGATCCACAGTAGAAGGTGTGCAGGAGACAGCTATTCAATGATTCTCTCTCATCATTGATGTTTCTCTCTCTCTCTCCCTCCCTCTCCTTTCCTCTCTGAAATAAATATTTAAAAAAAAAATACAGTATGTATTTTTCATACTACATGACCCCTAAACATTTAAGCCAACTTCTTTATCTGATTTTCTACTGGAATCAGCCATCTGTTTCATTGTTGAGAGAAAAGTAGGGCTCAATGAACTTGAGAAATAGCATATTGATCTCCGACATAGAGATTTTCTAGAGTAATTTGGACTATTAGCAATTTTCATGTTAGGAATTGACTTTAGAACTAGTTTAAAATGATACACCGATGAGAAATGAAAATGCCTATGGGCTTCCTGGGGTGAGTAAGTACCAGCCAAGAGAGACTCTACCCTAGATATCAGGTATTTTTTCCTGCCTAATTCTCTATCCTTATAGATTTGGGAGGCAGCCTAAAGCCATTGTACTAACCGACCCTGTCTTGTGTGCTCTGGACTTCACCTTTTGCCTGCTTCACTTGCAATACTTCAGTTCCTCCATCCTGCTGCTTCTGAAATTCTGATGTGCTGAAAAAGGCAAATACTTCAATACACTATATGTAATACGTATTAAACTGTATTTAGTATTCAAGTGTATTGTAGTAATTGTAACACGTTTTGACTATACAATTAAATTCCAGGCTCAAGAAGTATATCGTCTTTTTAAAAAGTATATACTTTATTGATTTATTTTTACAGAGAGGAAGGGAGAGGGATAGAGAGTTAGAAACATTGATGAGAGAGAAACATCCATCAGCTGCCTCCTGCACACCCCCTACTGGGATATGCTGGAAACCAAGGTACATGCCCTTGACTGAACCAAATCTGGGACCCTTCAGTCTCAGGCCTACGCTCTAACCACTGAGTCAAACCAGCGAGGGCAAGGAGAAGTATATCTTATCTTATTTCTATTTTGAATTATCTAGGTTATACTAAGTATACAAAAGTTGTCCAATGTAGGTATGGTGTCATAAACCACATCTGCATAAAACAGAATGGAGCAGAAGATAATAATAAAAAAAAATAGATAGGTTATTCCACCCACAAATTAACCTAAATAAGCTCACACAATAACAGCAAACAAAAACAAAAGTAGTGGGCTCTTCCTTCCCCAGGGCTGGCGGGGGGAGGGGACGCGCTTTTTTGGATTTCAGACTCAAGCCATTTGGAAGCAAGACAACCCTGCCCCCTGCTGCTGAGTTAGGATAAAGGTCTCTCAGCACAATTAACCGGATTGGGGAGGGGAAGTGACACTGGGGCAAAACATTTTGAGTGAAAGTCAGAAGGTGAACCAAGTCAGCATTTTCCCTGGATTCTTAAAAACTCCGGCGACAGTAATCTCTCAACCACTTACACACACTCACTCTGGCATTCAACATCAAGCAAAGTAAGCTGGGTTTCAGAAACAGGAAGTTGAAAGGAACATTTCTCTCCCAGCCACTTTTAAGAGAGGTTACCACCCCGGGTGGTCGTGATTTAGGGGAGGTCCAGGATCAGGGTAACTGAGCACGGTCCTGGAGGACCCGCCTGGCCGGGGTAGGAAGGACTGTTGCAATCCAGCCCACAAGTGCCAGTGTTTAGGTGGCTGGCGGGCGGGCATGAGGGGACAGGGCAGGAGGGAGGCGAGGGGCGTTTGTTACCTGGGGCCGGTCCCTACCAGGTAGGTGTTGGTGCCCTGCAGGGTCATGGGGCCCGGGTTACAGCCCAGGACGCGCACCACCCGGCTGGACAGCCGCTCGATGCGCTGCAGAGTGGCTGCCATCTCCGCTTAAGCCGCCCGTGGGCGCGCAGCTTACGGGGCGACCGGAGCCCGGAATTGTAAATAGGCCGGAGCCGTCAATCACCTGACCCGGGCGGAGAGGGATCCGCCTCTAAGCTGGGGGCGGGGCCAGAGGTCACGTGACTCCCGGCGAGCCGAGCGGGGAGGCATCAGCCTAGGAGCTGGGGGCGGGGCCAGAGGTCACGTGTCGCCGCGCGAGCGGAGCGGGGAAGGATCAGCCGCCGAGCTGGGGGCGGGGCCAGAGGCCACATGACGCTGCCTGATCCTCGAGTATGGCGGCGCGAGGGAGGCGTGAGGCGCCTGAGGCGAAGCTGGTGTGGAGAGCTACTTCTTGTCACCGAACCAGGCGCCTCCCTAGGAGTTCATGTTCGGGTGGGCGAGTTCATCCCAGGGGACAAGACGTTTTAACCTGGGGGATCTAGGGCTGGAGCAGAGGGCAGCAGGCAGGTTAGGGGCAGTGACTGTGTTCTGAATCCGGGAGCAGGGCTGTCAGGTTTGTGGGACCTGGAGTGTGTGTGAGAGGGGTAACCTGTTTATCTTTCATAATAAACGGCTGTACGTAATGTGTACCAAGCGCTCTCCACCTGCTAAGCGCTCTTTATAAACATGGTCTCCTTTAACCCTCGCAGCAACGCTCCTCCCTGGGCCCAGGGCCTTGGCAGGAGAACTGGGTTTGGCAGATGGGCGGCCCCAATGTCACTGCCGCTCCTTTTGTAAAGAATGGAGTCACAGTTTCCTAAAAAGAAAAGGCACAGATCCTATGTTTGGACAATTGCAAGAAGCCTCTCTCTCTCTCTCATTCTCTCTCTCTCTCTCTCTCTCTCTCTCTCTCTCTCTCTCTCTCTTTCTCTCTTTTTCATCCACCACCCCAGCCCAACTCTTCTCCAAAAAACGGACACATGAGATGCTTGCAGTTCTAAAGTGTAGTACAAAGGATTTTAACGTTGCTTGTGCAGGTACTTCTGAAGAAAAAGACAATTTCCTATTCATTTACAAAGTGTTTATTTTACAAACCAGCAGTGGAATATTCCAGATGTCATGAAAGACGCACCATAAAGACACAATTTCTTTGCCTTGTGCCGCAAAGATGCCCTTTTAATAGCAGTGTTTCAAAAACCTTCACTGAAATAATTATGAAAACGGTCCCCTTTGCAAAGGGAAGGCAGGCAATATGGCTTTTATTTTTAGTATTTATTTATAATCCCCACCTGAGATATTTTCCCATTGCTTTTAGATAAAATTGAAGCTGGGGTTGGAGGTGAGGGGAGGGGAGAAACATCCATGTGAGACAGACACATCCATTGGTTGTCTTCTGCAGGGGGCGGGCTGGGCTGGGTTTGAGCATGCAACTGGCAACTGTGCAACCAGGCTAATGCCCTTGACTGGGAATCAAACTTATAAGGGCCAACGCTCTAACCACTGAGAAAACTGGCCAGAGCCAAGCAATATGCCTTTTAAAAATGCCTGTAATAACTATCAAAATTTCCTAAGTCAGGAATATCAACTCATCAATATTTATGTATTTGTGGCCATGAATTAATGGCTGTTCAGACAGGAAGTTACCTCCTTCTTCCCACATCATAAAAACTGCTAGAAAGTCAGCAGAACCTTTGAGAAGAGGGTGGGACAGTCATTTCTGCACCACAGTGCTCTTCCTGAGACTCAGGGGCAGCTCCAGGTTCTTATCTCTTAGCCTTTTTAAATTTTTTAAATTTTTATTTTTTTTTACATATTAGAATTTTCTTTGTGCCTTCCATCTTGATTTCACTTGTTCACTACCAAGCTCTTCATTTGACAGATGAAGAAATGGACCCAACAAATAATTTAAAAGTTAAATGACTTGCCCTGGCCAGGTGGCTCACTTCATTGGAAAGTTTTCCTCTAAAGCAAAAGGTTGTAGGTTCAATTCCCGGTCAGGGCACATGCTTAGGTTTCAGGTTTGATCCCTTATCAGGCATGTAGGGCAGACAACTGGTCAATGTTTCTCTCTCTCTCTCTCTCAAAAATCAGTGAAAGCATATTCTCAGGTGAGGATTAAAAAAAAAGTTAAATGACAAGTAGTCATACAAGGAGACACTGGCAGAAGAGCAGGAACAGAGGGTTGATAGTAAACTTGGTTTAGAGAAGTTGAAGTTGAGGTGATTGTGGGGTATCTTGATAATACCTAGAGATAGTTTGGATATGTTTGTTGATATGTTTAGCAATGTGACTTGAAGGTTGACCTCTCTAAAAAATAAGACCAAAGATTTTCCCATTCTATCTAGTCACATTTGTAGTCATTTATCCTCTGCCTACAACATGCAAAGTGGGTCTTGTAGACATATTGTGGAGGGTACTAAAAATGAAATAGTAGGCTCTTTCTAGACACACCCAGAAAGCAGTTATACATGGTCTTATTTTAACATACTTGGGTACATCCTAGAGGAGAAGCTAAAGTGATGGGATTGCAAGGAGGAAGGGGAGCATCAAATTGACTGGGAAGATCTAGGAAAGCTTAAAGGTTATGGGTTTTGAGCTGATTCTTAAAGGATTGATAGAATTTCATCAGGTAGGTGGAGGTAGAAGGGCATTATAGATAAGTTTGGAAATAGAAGACATTTAGTGGATGTTTTTGGGAACAGAAACCAATAATCATATGATATGTTTTGAGAAGGTATATATTTTAAAAAAGTAAATAGGGCTTACTTAACGATTTGTTGTAAATTCGCAGAGTATTTCAAATTCAAGAATTTATTTTTTTCTTTTTCAAACATATCTGTTCACTTGGATAGGCTGTGAGGCAAACCTGTATTTTCTAAAAACTTAATTGATAAATACAATGAAAGCTTGTAACCTAGCCAACTTATAAAAGGAGGCATGTTTTTCCTATTCCCAGAGGGATGGCTATAAAAGGTTATATCGTGACCAGAATGAATCACTCTGTTATCACTAGATTAGAAAAATCCCACATAACTACCAGGTGATTTCAGTTTCATTTTGGCCTTGGATCTTAAAGGTTTACAACCTCTAATGATACTTGTTTTCAGTAAAGAAGAAATAAAAGAAATGAAGATTTTCCGGAAGAGACTGAGTTAAAGAAGGCTTTTTTATATTTGACAAGTAAGTCTAGTCTATATTTTATGTGTGTTAAATTTTGTCGACAAGTGAAAGGTTGCTAGTTTTTACTTTTTAAATATCTGCTTTATTACAAAGAGATCATGTATAGTGGGCAAAGGTTATATATTTTTGGCTGACAGCCAGGAAGCTACATAGCTGGGTTGACTTCTGAATAAAATTGGATTGGAACTATTGTATTAAGTTAGTGTCACGAGTTTCCTAGGAAGTTAAATTTTATAGGTGACATTTTTTCTCATAAGGTGGTATTGGAATAGTGATCAACTGTAGGGATAGAGATGAACTGTCTTTCATGCAAGTTAGAGAAATACGTGGTTACTGAAAGAGTTGGGGATTTCTTTATGAGAACTGCTATATTTAGTACCTTGCCATGTAGGTTTCTCTCCAGTTGGCAGTATGTCCCTGCCTCACTAAATTAGGAATAGAGGAGATATAGAAGATATAGAAGATGTCATATTGGATTTGTTTATTGAATCTGATATTCTACCAATAATGTAATTAATAAGTTTCTTAGAAATTATTTTTCCCATTTCATAAAACTTGATTCAAAACTGCTAGTGTTTTCCATATCCATTCCAGGTAAAGGTAGCTATCTGTGTGGGGTGAGTGATTAAGAAATGCCCATATGGAGTGCTTAGGTATTATAGTTTGTAATTTTAAAGGAATCATCTATTAAAAAAAACACGGTTTGCTCTTTAGAGATAATTCACCTAAACACCCAATATTTCTCTAAACTCAGTTTTCTGACCTGCAAAATGGGGTCACTTATATCCTACTCATATGGATTTGTAAGGATTAAATGAAATAATATATGTAAAACACTTCACATGAAGAAACACTCAGAAATGGTAGCTACTTTTATTGCTATCTACTCTTCCACTATATGTGCAATGTTTATTTTAATAGAGGAGAACGTTTAACCTGGAGGATTCCATCTCTAGTGGAGAGTTTCAGGTTCTCTGGTTGGCAAGTAGAAGAGAATTATGGTAGAGAAGCCTTTTCTAGGAGAAGCATATCTGAGAAGAAAGGTTTGGAAGCAGGAAGTCCAAGATCAAGGTGAAAAACAGATCCAGTGTCTGGTAAAGGCTCACTTCCTGGTTTGCAGACGGCTATTTTCTCATGTGAAGAGTAGAGAGATCTAAGTTAACCTTTTAAAAAGGCAAATAGTCTGGGAAAAGATAAGGGTAAATAGTTTGAAAGGAAGTTTTCAATTCGTTAGTATATTGTTTTGTTGAGACTTTACCAAAGCTATTATAAGAACTAGTATATTTAGTGATTATATATAAATAAATAAATAAATATATATATATATATATATATATATATATATATATATTTAAATATAGCTTTGATAAACTCATGACCTAGAGTTTTTAATATTATGCTCAAGAGTTTAAGAATCTTATATTTATAAATATGTTTTATTTTAGGTATTGTTATCGGTAATGAAGATCATTGTGAAACAGAAGATTGAATAAAGCCTTGTAACATTAAACCTAGATTAGAGATTTAGAAAAGAAAGTTAAAATTAGTCATTTTGATTTAAGTGTTTCAATTTCATAATATTTATTCTTCTAAATAGATTTAGAGAGTAGAAAATAAAATTCAGTGCTATAAAAAGCTGTTTTTCTTTCTTTTTGTATCAGAGAAGAAAGTAGACAACTAAGAGCTATAGTGATTCATAATGAAATATACTAAATCGAATTTTATTATGTCAGTTGTTGGCATTATAATCTATATAACTGATTTAATTGTGGACATCTGGGTATCTGTTAGGTTTTTCCATGAAGGACAATATGTTTTTGGCATTTTAACAGTAAGTTTTATGCTTGTTGGAACACTTGTGGTCCAGTGTTTTAGTTATTCTTGGTACAAGGCCGATTTAAAGAAAGCAGGCCAAGAAAGTCAGCATCGTTTTCTTCTACTTCACTGCTTGCAAGGAGGAATTTTTACAAGGTGAGCATACGCTTTTGATCATTAACACAATTTTTCTTTTATTCGAACAGAAACGCCTTTCTGTATCTAGGTTGTCAAATGTACAAAGATCCCCTATTTGCATGTAGCACAAAGGTCACTTGCTTCTTATTGTTGCTGTTTGTGTGAGTCATTGCTGTACTGTCAGAATTTTCCAGGTTTATTATGTTTTAGTTTACCTAATTTACTTTTTCTGATATGTGCTCACTTTTTATGAGAAGGAAAAAGACTAATTTCTATGTCTTGTGATCTTATGTTTTATATTCATAGCCCAATTGTGCAAATATGTCTATCACTTGCAACTGCTAGAGCACTTAATTTTTAAGTTACTTGTACCATTGATTTAACCAAATGAAAAATTTAGTGCAATAATGTAGTAGCCAGGTGGTAAGCTGGTACAGAATCATGTACAGAACTAGAAACAGTCTTAAAAATCAAGCTAAAAAACTTTAATAGTTAAAGAAACAATATCTAAACAGGCCTTAAGAATTCCATGATTCTTTGTATATCTAATTTTATATGACCTTTTCAATATTACCTTAAGGGATTTAATTCTGTTAAAAGTAATTTTTCTCTTTACTTTTAAGATATCTGCATATCATTTTTTAAAAAGACTCACAGGATTTAATATATATTTTTAATTTAATAAATCTTTATTGTTCAGATTATTACAATTGTTCCTCTTTTTTCCCCCATAGCTGTCCTCCACCTGTTTTCCACCACACCCTCTGCCCTTACCCCACCCACTGTCCTCATCCATAGATGTATGATTTTTGTCCAATCTCTTCCCACATCTCCCACACCCCTTTTCCCACCGAGAATTGTCAGTCCACTCCCTTTCTATGCCCTTGAGTCTATTATATTTACCAGTTTATTCTGTCCATCAGATTTTTTTATTCACTTGATTTTTAGATTCACTTATTGACATATATGTATTTGTTGTTCATAATTTTTATCTTTGCCTTTTTCTTCTTCTTCCTCTTAAAGAATACCTCTAGTATTTAATTTCTTGCCACTCCCGTCTGGCCTGAATAGTTTCTGTTGAGAAATCAGCTGACAGTTGTATGGGTGCTCCCTTGTAGGTAACTGTTTTTTTCTTGCTACTTTTAATATTCTCTCTTTGTCTTTTGCTCTTGGCATTTTAATTATGATGTGTCTTGGTATGGTCCTCTTTGGATTCCTTTTGTTTGGGGTTCTGTGTGCTTCCTGGACTTATAAGTCTATTTCTTTCATCAGGTCAGGGAAGTTTACAGTCATTATTTCTTCAAATAGGTTTTCAGTATCTTGTTCTCTCTCTTCTTCTGGTGCCCCATAATTCTGATGTTGGTACATTTGAAGTTGTCCCAGAGGCTCCTTACACTATCTTCATATTTTTGGATTCTTTTTTTCTTTTCCAGTTGGGTGTTTTGGGTTTTTTGTTTGTTTGTTTGTTTGTTTGTTTTGCTTTTTTGTATTTCAAATCTTTGACGTGCTTCGTACAATCCTCTATTCTGCTGTTAGATCTCTGTATAATATTTTTTATTTCAGACAGTGTATGCTTAATTTCTAGTTGGTCCTTTTTCATATCCTCGAGGATCTGGCTAAATTTATCTGCTTTTTCTAAAAAATTCTTGAAAAATCTTATAACTGTGGTTTTGAACTCTGTATCCAGTTGTTTGCTTTCCTCCATTTCTTTTACTTGTGATCTGCTTCTGTGTCTCATTTTGACTGCTTCACTGAGTTGATAGAGTGGCTTTGTTGATAGGTGTCCTATAGGGCCCAGTGGCTCAGTCTCCCCAGTCTCCCCAGTTGGTGCACCCCTTTGTGGGCTGTGTACACAGTCTTGTTGTAGTTAAGCCTTGATTGTTTTTGGTATCACTGTGAGGAATTGACCTCCAGGTCAATTGGCTGTGAGGATCAGCTGTGTCTATTCTGGGAGAACTTCTGTGCTGGAGACACCCTTATGAGATAAGACTTGCAAAAGCCTCTGTGTTCAGCTTGGATGGGGTGGAGTCTCAGGGTAGAGAAGACAGCATTGGTTTTCCATCAGCCCTGCCCTAATAGGCCCTTGTGTCTCAGTGTCCCATGGTAATTGCTGCAAGCACCTCTGAGAGAAAGCTACCCTCAAGTTCCACTTGCTGCCAACCTCTCCAGTTTCTCCCCGAATGAGTCTGAGTTCCCAGTCTCACCCGGAACTGAAGTTCAGTGCAGTCGGGAACTTTTGTCTCCCTCCTCCATGAGAAAGCCCACCATATATTCAGTTGCCCACCCTCTCTGCACACGCGCGTGCATGCGCGCGCTTCAATACCTCTGCCTTCTGCAGTTCCTCTAAGTCTCAGTGTGCTTTTCTTTTTCCTGACAGTCCAGTTTCTCCTGTATGAGTCTGGGTCCCCAGACTCTCCCCCGGAACTGGAGTTCAGTGCAGTTTGGAGCTTTTGTCTCCCTCCCACTTGAGAAAGCCACGCATTCAGTTGCCAGTCCTCTCTGCGTATGTGCGTCTCAGTACCTCTGCCTCCTGCAGCTCCTCTGAGTCTCAGTGTGCTTTTCTCTTTTCTTCTAGTTGTAGAATTTCCACTCAGCCAGCCTTCCTATGGTTCTGGATGATGTCTGTTTTGTCTTTTAGTTGTAGTTTTGAAATTGTTGTGCGTGTGGCAGCAGTTTAGGTATTTACCTATGCCTCCACCTTGGTTTCTCCTCTGAGATATCTGTATATCTTAAAAGAGAAAAATTAAAAGCACATTAAGAGGATAACATACTCTTTGGTTACATTTAATTTTGGAATTTGGACCATTTTAATAGCTTACATAAAGATTAATTTCTGATTCTGTCCTATTAAAAAGCAACATATTCATGGTGACTGCTGAAAGTATTAAAAAATTTCAGGCTTTTTATATGTTAATTGATAGTAATAATAATAAATGTCATTAAATCTGTGTGGAGATTTTTTTAGTCTTCAAAGTATTTTCACATACTTTGTCTTTTTAAAGCTAGAGTTAGTAAGGTTATAACATGTAATAGTAACAAAATATATAATGAGAAAAAGTACAGGTTTTAGGGAAGCTGGAAAGTACTTTAGGTGTAGATATTGGAGTTTAGTTTTGAAACTGTATGCTTTCAATAAGATGAAAATGTTTAAAGGAATGGAGTAAAAGTGCTTATAACTTTTTAATGTGTAATAAATAAGATTTAATGAATATTTTGCATGAGCAATAATGATAATTATGTAGTTATAATATTTAAAGAAGGATAACATTTACCTTGCTGAGAGTTTAGAAATATGGTAAATTCTTTATTTGCCCTTCTATAAATGTAAAATTTTCATATATACAGAACTGTTTTTCTCGGTGTTTCAAATAATGGCTTAAAGGTACTGCAGGACATTGTGTTATATATTATAAATTGTATTATAAAAGAAAGGCAAAATTGCCTTGATTTTTATTGTCTTTTGACATACCTAGTAATTTTTTATTAAATGTTAGACATTATATATAAAAATTATAGAGGCTCCAGATAATACTATTTTCCTTTTCTCTTCTGGACATTTAGAATGAGGTTCAGTCTACTGTTGGTTTGCTCCTAGGGTGCAGCCTTCTAGGGCACTGAGAGCCTGGTGTAGTCATGCTCCCTCCGCATGTCCTGAATACTACTAGGTCCTTATCTCCTTGGCACCACAAAACTGTCAGAAAAATTCTGCTTTGCTTTTTCAAGACTTTCTGCTTAGGGTTTAGTCTTTATCTTATAGTTTTAAAATTTGTTAAATGTCCTGGGGGGCAAACTGACTAAGCTTTTGAGGTCCCTGTCTTTAGACCTACAAGATCTTAAAGCTTCTGCTTTTTCTTTTTTCTTTTTTCTTTTTTCTGTTCTAACAATAACCCTCTACCTGAGAAAAATCCATATTTTCAACATCTTGCCCTTGTACCTCCAGGCAACAAGTATCTGCAGAAACATCAGTTCATATCCAATTTCTTTAGTTGTTTTGGCAGGAGCTTTGGTCTGCTCCAGTATACTATTATACATCCTATATGGAAGCATAGTCTGTAAAGTGCAATCTTGAGTTATCCTGTAATATGCTGTTGTAAATTATCCCAGGTCTAAAGTTGAACAGAACCTTTATTGTTCTAAAAAATAATATAAAGACCCCAAAACACTTGAATTCCATCTACCATATTCCTCACATATACTGTACATTAATATTGCTGGCATTTTAATTCCGGGTTTAATCTCACTAGACCATATTATTGTGTTATTTGTTTTATATAGTTAACTTTTGTTTATATTTACTATTCTCTTTATTTTTTATTCCTTCTTGAATCTCAGACTTTCCACTATGGATCACTTTTCTTCTGCCTGCTGAGGTCCAGAATTGCATCTATTGTGAGTCTGTTGGGGACATCATTTTTCAGTTTTTGGTTGTCTAGAAATGTCAGTATTTCATTTGCTTTCTTGAGAGCTATTTTAGAATTTGAGATGAGTAGTTATCTTATTTTTTCATATTACATTCTCTTGTCTTTTGGTTTTTATTGTTTCTCTTGAAGTGTTAGGTGACAGAGTCTTTTTTCCTTTACCTTTGGTTTTCTACAGTTTAATTATGATACATTTATGTATAGATTTATTTCTCTTGCTTGAGATTTGCTAGTTCTCATGATTCTTTGAAACTTTCATCACTTTTGCACAATTCTTAGTCATTACTTTCTAACATTTTTTGTCTCTTTGCCTTCTGGGACTGCAAACAGATGTAAGTTATATATTCTCACTATATTTAACAAACTCTTATAACAGAAGCTATATTTGGTTCTTTTCAAAAGTCTGCTATGTCACTTTTTGTAGTTTCCTCTTCACTGCAGATATTACAGACTTGGCATTTATATCTTTAAACATAGCATAGCTTTTTTATTTAAAATTTCAATATCTGAAGCTTTTACAAGTTTGTTACTACTGGCTCTTCTTCTTCTATTGGGTACTCATATTGCCTTGTTTCTTGCATGCCTAGGTTAGTATCCATGATTATGTTCTGGTCATTGCCCCTGAAAAAATAGTGAGGCCTTCACCATGTCCTCTCTAGAGACTTTGATTTTATTCTTCGGAGATGTCTATAGGGTCTGTAAGATGTGGTCTACACTTAAAAGTCATGTCTTGAAGTGCTTCCTGATTCAGTCTTTTAAAAACAAAACAAAACATATTTTTTATTGACTTTAGAGAGAAAGGGAGAAGGAGAGAGAGATAGAAATATCAATGATGAGAGAGAATCATTGATCAGCTGCCTCCTTCATGCCCCACAGTTGGAACTGAGCCTGCAACCTGGGCATATGCACCATCTGGGAATCGAACCGTGACCTTATGGTTCATAGGTTGATGCTCAACCAGTGAGATTGATTCAGTCTTGAAAGGTTGTATCTTTCTAGAAATGTGTGCATTTCTTCTAGGCCTGTGGTTGGCAAAATGTGGCTTGCGAGCCACATGTGGCTCTTTGGTCCCTTGAGTGTGGCTCTTCCACAAAATACCACAACCTGGGCAAGTTTATTTTGAAGAAGTGGCATTAGAAAAAGTTTAAGTTTAAAAAATTTTGCTCTCAAAAGAAATTTCAATCATACTGTTGATATTTTGCTCTATGACTAATGAGTTTGCTGAGCAACAACAGTAAGGTAGTTTAATACCTTACATTAATGGATATATAATGAGACAAAAAAAATCAATAAGGAAACAAAGACCTTAAATGTCACACTACACATAACTGACTCAATAGATTATTGGATATACATTTTTTTCATGTGCACATAGAACATTCTTTAAGACTGATCACATTTAGACCATAAAACAAGTCTCAATAAATTAAAGAAGACTGAAATCATATCAAGCATTTTTTTTTCAATGATATTATGAAAATAGAAATCAACTACAAGAAGAATACTGGAAAAATCAGAAACATGCTATTAAACAACTAATTGATCAAACAGGAAATAAAAAAATACTTGGAGACAAATTAAAATGAAAATACAACTTTCTAAAACCTATGGGATACGGAAAAAGCAGTTTTAAGAGGGAAGTTCTATACAGGCCTCTCTGGGTTTCAAGTTCCCTACCAGTTTGGGCTTGTATGGGAGGCAACCAATTAATGTGGCTCTCTTGCCTAGATCTCTCTCTCTCTCTCTCTCTCTCTCTCTCTCTCTCTCTCTCTCTCTCTCTCCCTCCCTCCCTCCCTCCCTCCCTCCCTCCCTCCCTCCCTCCCTCCCTTCCTCCCCCCTCCCCCCCTCTCCTTTTTCCCTTCCACTATCTCTAAAATCAATGAGAAAAATATCCTCCAGTGAGGATTAATTTAAAAAAATTAAAAATTTAAAAATAAAATGAAAGAGAAGTTACAACTGATAAACATCCTATATAAAAAAGCCTGGGTGGCATCATGCACGATGTCATCACAAGATGGCCACCCTCATGACATCATGTATATTTAACAGTGCTAGCACAAAATGGCACAGCAAACATGAAATAAAAGGTTATGGAGTTCAAATCTCAATAAAGACACCATAAGAAATTTGTAGTAGAGAAAGTTTGTGGGAAAAATCTGTACTTAAACATATGCTACTTTTTTCAAATTATTATATATATATTAATCTACATGTTATAAAGTATATATTCATAAGACAAATGTTCTTATTTACTTTACAGGTATTGGTTTGCTTTGAAAAAAGGTTATCATGTGGTTTTCAAATATAGCAACAAAACTGATAACTTCATAGAAAAACAAATTGATCCACATAAAGAAGTTATAGATGGAGTGACTGATTTGAGCATGCTCAGGCTATTTGAGACCTACCTGGAAGGCTGCCCACAACTTGTTCTTCAGCTCTACATCTGTCTGGAACAGGGTCAAGGAAATATCAGTCAGTGTAAGTCTTAACACCCTTTGTTAGATAGATGCCTCTGAGATCTTATGTTAATTATATAACTTTTGGGCAGGTTTTAGAATTTTTTATTATTTTTCTTTATAGAATTGTTTAAGTTTTAAAAAGAAGAACATGGTCTAAATATTTAAAAGTATATAAAGATATGTTACCTCCTTCCCTCTTTTTCCCATTCCTTTTTTGTCTGCCAGAAAGGAAACTTGTCAGTTTTTTTTATGACTCTTTTAGAAAATAATTTTAAAAACCTATATTAATTATTTGTCTGTGTCTCTCCCTTTTTCTATTCATTCTCTTTCTTTTATAGAAATAGTAACTTAAAATAAAAACAGTCTTTATTTTTTTTTTGCAGCATTTAACAATATGTCTTGGAGATTTATTCATATCAGTACAGAAAGAGCTCCCTCATTCATTTTTATTATCTGAATAGTATTATAAATTATAGATATACCATGATTTATTTAATAAGCTCCAGTTTATGTTGTTAGGTTGTTCCTAATATTTTACTGTTGCAAAAAATGCTGCTGTAAGTAATATTATGCATGTGTAATGTATATCCATAGGGTAAATTTCCAGAATTGCAATCATTAGATGAAAGTGCAAATGCTACAGAAACTCATGAAAGTTTACCAATATGTTATTTTATTACAGCATATTTCATTGTTAGGGTAAAATATTCAATTTAAAGGACAGTTTGAAATTTCCATTAAAAAAGACACCATTTAACTTGTTTAATTTGAGATGTTAAAAAATAGTAATGACTAAGGTTTCATGCAGAGTTGGATTAATCTCAGAGTACCAGATTGTCATCTTTCCTGGAGTTCCCTCTATGCTGGACTCACCTGTGAGATCAGTTTCTTTCCCTAAGTATTTCTGTTCCCAATTTCCCACAAACTTCAATGTTGTAGTCCTTTCTAATATTATTATTTTTACCTTGCTTGTTAGTAAGACACTGAAATGAACCTATTGCATATTAAGACCTTTTTTTCCTTATGATGCAAATAATTTGTGGGTTGGGACTTACGTGTTCTGTGCCATATAGTTACTGAAACTAGAAGTTCAACATTTAGAGTTTATAGCCTATCAGGTGGTAGATCTGTTGATGATTCCAAGTAGTAAATAGCATCTGGATCACAATGGGATCCAGTGACTATCTTCATATTATGAGGTTTTATCCTCATTCTTTAGTTTCTCCTTAAAGTAAGAAGTTGAGGTATTAATTAAAAATAGCAAAACAAACAAACAAACAAATAAATAAATGCCAATTGTCTAACAATAGAATTGGTAAATAAGTTACTGCACAATCTTATATAATAAAGATGCAATTTGCAAATGGTTGTTACACCATGAAGCGTAATGACTGATCGATTAACGACAGGATCACAGATCAGCAGGAGTGTAGGGCAGCGAGCTACAAGCTGTTGTTGGAGAGCTTCAGGAGGGAACAGGGCAGCAAGCTATAAAGGGGGATGGGGGAGGGCAGAGGGAGCTACAGGAGGGCAGTGCAGTGGGTGCAGAGCTACTGGAGGGTGGCAGCGAGCTATTGGTGAGCTACTGGAGCTACTGGTGCATGGATTCGTGCGCAGGGCTACTAGTGTTACTATAAAAACTGTTAGCCACAGAAAATAGTGATAACTTTTAATGACACAGGAAAGTAATTCTAAAATAAAATTTAGACAAAAACAGTTTATAAAATTTTCTATGAGCATACTTTTAAGGTTACAAGGAAATGATTATATTGAACAGTGTCTAGAAGAAAATATGAAAAATGTTAACTGTAGCTGCGATTACTGGGTAGTGAGATTATGAATTAATTTATTTAATCTTCTTTAAAAATTTTCTCTGAATTTCCAAATATTCTAAAATAACTAGGTATTGTTTTGAGAATTAGGAAGAATAACTCAGAATGTTAAAAAAAAAAAAAATCAGGTAACTTATAGAAGTATTTCAGAAGATTGAACCTATTCTTTTATTTTTGCTTCTTCCTGAACCACACTAATAAGGAGAGTAAAGGATTAAAAATAATGTAAACCCACAAGAACAAATAGAATGTAGAATAGAATAGCAGATTAGAAATATCAACGTGTTTAGAAGATGGAAAGCAGATGAAAAGGTTATGTAGGTTATGTAAATCAGCTCTACCATCAAAGACTAAATTATTTGAAGTTATTCTCCCTCTGAAAATATCTAACGCTACTGGATAGCCTGGCTGGTGTGGCTCAGTGGTTGAGCATTGGTGTAATGAACCAGGAGGTCACAGTTCAATTTCTGGTCAGGGTACATGCTCAGGTTGTGGGCTCAATCCCCAGTGTGGGGCATGCGGGAGGCAGCTGATCAATGTTTCTCTGTCACCATAGATGTTTCTATCTCTCTTCCTCTCTGAAATGAATAAAAATATATATAGACTAGAGGCCCAGTGCACGAATTAGTGCACTGGTGGGATCCCTCAGCCTGGCCTGTGGGGATCGGGCCAATACTTGCTTTCTGACATCCCCAAGGGGTCCTGGATTGTGAGAGGGCTCAGGCTAGGCTGAGGAACCCCACATGTGCACAATTGGGGCCAGGGAGGGACCACAGGAGGGTTCCTGAGTGTGTCTGGCTATCTCGCCCAGTCCCAATCAGCCGGACCCCAGAAGTGAGCTAACCTACTGGTTGGAGTGTCTGACCCTGGTGGTCAGTGTGCATCATAGTGACTGCTCAAATGGTCAGATGAACAGTCAGACACTTAGCATATTAGGCTTTTATTATATAGGAAGGGAAATTGAGCTTGCTGACACCCAACTCACACTTAAGTTAAATTTTCCTTCCTCCCTCTTTCTCCCCTCCCTCCTTTTCTCCCATCCTTCCTCTCTTACTTCCTTTCCATTTCCCTCTCTTGCATGATGCTGTGTCTTAGTGAATTAGATATATGCACAGGGTCAAAGCCAAAGCCTGGAATAGCTAGGTTTATAACAGTAATGTCTTATAGAATTTCCAGAGTATTATATGCAGTTTTCACCATATCAGTTACTCAATAAAACATGTCCAAAATTTGTACAGTTCAGAATCTTGTAAAGCAGTCTAATGCAGTGGTTAAGTTCACCATCTTTGGAATTGGGTAGCTTTAGAGTAAAATCTTAACTGCAACTTGCTAGCTGTATGACTTGGGTTAAATAATATATATTCTGTAAGCATTACTCCTTCATATGTAATATGGGAATAGTAATATTTATCTTGAAGGATTAGATGAGATGAGTATTTAAAGTACCTGACATGTGTTTTTGGGTATGTGTAAATACAGATAAAGCATGTAAGGCATATGGTAATTTAATATTGCAAATTTTATTCCTGTAACAATATACCTTTTTAAATTTTTTGTTTTGTAGATGCAGTCCTCGTGGTCTCTTGCTGTGCTATTTCTTGGTCGACTGTTGATTATCAAATATCTTTAAGAAAATCCTTACCTGATAAAAAAGTCCTTACTGGGCACTGTCGAAAATTCACATATCTCTCTTACAAGTTTTTTACATTATTATCTTGGATGCTGAGTGTTGTACTTCTTTTATTCTTAGATGTGAAGATTGCTTTATGTCTGTTGTCATTTCTTTGGATTTTAGGTATATTGTGGGCATTTAAAAACCAAACTAAGTTTTGTGCTTCCATAAGTATGGAGTTCTTATACAGGATTGTTGTTGGATTTGTTCTTATTTTTACATTTTTTAATATTCAGGGTCAGAATACCAAATGTCCAATGTCTTGTTATTATATTGTAAGAGTACTGGCCACATTGGGGATATTGACTGTGTTCTGGGTTTGCCCACTTTCTATTTTTAATTCAGACTATTTTGTACCTATTAGTATTATTATAGCTCTTACTCTTATCCTTGGAATTATTTTTCTTATTGTTTATTATGGGACTTTGCACCCAAACAGAAGTAAAGAAAGAGAACCTGATGAAATTGATGGGAAATCAGTGCAAATAGAATGTAGAATGAAGTATTTCCTAATGGACTAAGCTATCATTTATGAGATGTATTTTCTTATTTTATGTTTCATTGGTTAGTAAAGAAAATGTTGTGTGTCTATGTCTGTGTTATTTCTTAGTTTTGCTTTCTTTAATTTGAGATCAGTTCTGGTACATTATTTATGAATGTGAGAGTGAGCATATTAATATTTTTATTATTAAATTAATTTCTCACTTGGTTTTGAAGACCTTAAGAACTTAGATATATTTGCCTGTTGTCAGGAAGAGTAGCCATTTTGAGCCTACATTGGAAGAAATGGTCTGGTTCCCATAATAATTCTGGTTCCTTCAATAATTTGAAGGCTGGAATTGAGCTTCTCTCCAACTTTTCCCTCATTTTCCCTGAACTAAAACTGATGCACCTGCTGTGGAGAAAAAGAGAGCAGAACACTTGTTCTCACCTGCATTTTTTTGTTTCAATGCATATATTGAGTTGGAGACGGATTGAGTTGAGAAAAAGGAAAAGGAAGGGAAGAGGAAGAAAACAAGACATAAAATTTACCATCTTAACCATTTTTAGTGTATAGTTCAGTAGTGTTAATTATATTTACATCTCTGTAACTTTTCATCTTGCAAAATAGACTCTGTTCCAATGAACAACAACTTCCCATTTTCCTCTTTTTCCAGCTCCTGGCAATTGCAATCTACTTTGTTTTAATAAATTTAACTACTTTAGATAATTCCACATGTAAGTGGAATTATACAGTATTTGTATTTTTGTGACTGGCTTATTTAACTTAGCATATTGTCCCGAGATTCATTTATTCATTTATTAATATATTGTAGCATGTGTGACAGCATTTTATTTATATATATATATATATATATATATATATATATATATATACATACACACACACACACACACACTAGGGGCTGGTGCACAAAATTGGTGCACTTGGTGGTGGTGGTGGTGGGTCCCTCAGCCTGGCCTGCACCGTCTCATAGTCCAGGAGCCCTTGGGGGATGTCCGACTGATGGCTTAGGCCTGCTCCCCAAGCTGGCAGTTGAACATCCTTAGCGCTGCAGTGGAAGCAGGAGTGGCTCCCACCACTGCCACTGTGCTCGCCATCCATGAGCCCAGGTTCAGAACTTCTGATTGAGTAGTGCTCCCACTGTGGGAGAGCACTGACCACCAGGGGATAGCTCCTGATTGTGCATCTGCCCCCTGGTGGTCAGTGCAGATCATAGCCTTAGCATATCATTATCATATTATGCTTTGATTGGTTGAACGGCCGACTGGTGACTGGACACTTAGCACATTAGGCTTTTATTATATAGGATTGATTTCAGAGAGGAAGAGAGAGGGAGAGAGAAATAGAAGCATCAATGATGAGAGAGAGTCATGGATCAGCTGCCTCTTGCACACCCCCTACTGGGGATTGAGCCTGCAACTGGGCATGCGCCCTGACCAGGAATTGAACCATGACTCCTGGTTCATAGGTTCACTGAGCCACACTTCTAGACAGGAATTTCTTCTTTAAGGCTGAATAATATTATATTCTATGTATATGTCACATTTTCTCTACTTATCAATCACTGGGTTGCTTCTACCTCTTGGCTATCATGAATAATGTTATAATGAATATTGGACATAGCAATTTATGTAATGGAAAAGTGGTTATAAAATAATATATATTGTTTTATATTTACATATATATATATAAACTTGAATATTAAATGCCCCACACAAACATGGATTGAATGATCATTTCATCAACGAACATTTTCCCATTGAGTTTATAGCCAAGAAATAAATGGGTAGATCCTAGTCAGATATTTTGGCTAGTTAGCAAGTTCTTAAAGTGAATATTTAATATCTAATGGATTTACTTTTACTTATTTTATTCTATTTTTTTTCTATATCATTCAGTCATGGATATATAGCACTTTTAAATCTTCCCAACTAATTATACACTTTTCTAGATTATTCTGCACATATAAAAGGCATTTTGAAATGTAGGAAAAGCATGGGAATAATTATAAGCAATACTCTCATAAAAGAACAGTCATATGCATTGTACTACTCCAGAGGTTCTCAGGGTTCTCAAGGATATATTGTATATAGTTATTATAGGAACTCAGATGGTTGTGAAGGCCACAATATCTGTCGGCAAGTTGGAGAACCATGAAAACCTGTGGTGTAATTGAGTCCCAGTCTGAAGGCCTAGGAATTGTGGGGCTAATGGTGTATGTCCTGATCTGGGTCCGAAAGCCAGAGAACCAGGAGCACCCATGTTGGAGGGAAGGGGAAGATGGATATTTTAGTTCAGGCAGACAGAGTGACTTTGCTCTTCCTGTGCTTTTTCAGTTCTATTTAGACCCTCAACAGATTGATGATACTACCCACACTGGGGACGGCATTTGCTTCACTCCACCAATTCAAATGCTAATTTGAGGAAAAAACATCCTCACAGACACACACAGAAATAATGTTTTACCAGCTATTTGAGCATCCCTTAGCCTAGTCAAGTTAACATAAAATTCACATTCCCAAACACCCATATACTTTCATGACTACTTGAAATATGAATAGAAGGCTTCCCTTACACTAGTGGTTCTTAAACATTAGTGTACATGAAAGTCATCTGGAGGATTTATTGTATTTCCATCCACATCTTTTTTTTTAGTAGATCTTAGGTGGAGTGTGAAATTTGTCCAAGAAGTTCCTGGATGTTGTTGATGCTGCTGGTCTGTCCATTTGCTTTGAGGAAATACCACTTTTGAAGGCTAATACCACTTTTAATAACTAGTTTCAAAATAGCCACTAGAGGGCAATGAAGGCACAGACAAATTGGATGTGCTGCTTAATAGGTTCCCTGTTTATGCTATCGTTACTATAAGCCAGGAAAATACCAAAGCTAAATATTAATTTCCTGTAGAAGTATCTTCAGGCTCATTCTCAATTGTAATAGAAATCAAAGCTTGTCCTTATGGTTGTGGAATCAGAGCTGTATAATGAACTCTAACTTTGGCCGATGTCCATTTCATGATCACAATATATTAAAAGTTGGGTTTTTCTAAGTGGGAAGAGACTACATTATGATAGTAGGTTCAGCTTGTTATGGAGAAAATTCTGCATTTAAGCTGTATTTATTAGTTTTAAGACATGCACGTCTTATTTTGTGAAAGTAAGACCAAAGTACTTTTAACAATTATTAAACTTAGTATGTATTAAACCTTAATTCATAGAACATAAAGATCCATAGAATATAGGGAATTTGTAGTTTCTCCTAGAAATATTGCTTTGATGGTAGAAAATGACTACAGAAAAAATAAAAATTTATAGTTTTTAGGGATGTTATTATATTTCCATTTTGCCTAATCTGGAACTTGAAAGCTTTACTGCTATAGTAATTGCTCTTTAAAAATTTTCTTTTGATATCTAGTGTATAGACATATACACCTTTCTAAATAGTTCTAGTGCTTGGCTGGAACCACCAATTGCTTTTCATGGTATTGTAGAAAATTATTTTTCTCTTTATTTTATTTTAGTATTTTTCATCACCATTTGTCCTCTCCTAACCCTTTCCACCTCCACCCACCCCAGATTCCTGCAATCATCACTGTTGTGTCTATGAGTTCTTTCTTTTTTCTTTTCTTCTTATCCCCCCATTAGAGCTGCCTGCCTGCTCTTTATCTGAGTCTCTCTCTTTTGCTTATTATTAGTCCAGTTTGTTCATTAAATTTCACATATGAGTAGAATTATATGGTACTTGTCTTTCTCTGAATGGCTTATTTCACTTAGCATAACGTTCCCCAGGTCCACCCATGCTGTCACAAAGGGTAAAATTTTCTTCCCTTTTATGGATGAGAGGTATTCCATTATGTAAATGTACCATAGCTTTTTTATCTACTCATCTACTGATGGGCAATTGGGCTATTTCCAAATCTTGGCTATTGTAAATAATGCTGCAATGAAATAGGGGTGCATACATTCTTTCAAATTAGTGTTTCAGGTTTCTTTGTATAAATTCCCAGATGTGGAATCACTGGGCCACAAGGCAGTTCCATTTTTAACCTTTTGAGGTAACTCCATACTGCTTTCTACGGTGGTCACCAATCTGTATTCTCACCAATAGTGTACAAGGGTTCCCTTTTCTCTGCATCTTCTCCAACACTTGTTGTTTGTTGATTTATTGATGACTAGAGGCCTGGTGCACAAATTCATACATGGATAGGGTTTCTTGGGGTTGCCTGTGGGGATTGGGTCCCAGCTCATGCCCCTAGCCTTGCAGCCCTGCCATCCCTGGCATCCTGCCATGGCCTGGCGCTGCCCCCTCATATGCGCTACCATCCCACCTGCAGGTTGATCAATTAGGATCAGGCCCCCACCTGGCTCCCTCAGTGCCTGGGAGCTGGGTGGCCGCCCCGCCCCCTGCTGCTGGTTGCTGGTTGCTGCGTGTGAGGCAATCAGCAGGGCTATCAGGCTCCTGCTTGTACCCGCCTTGGCCTGGTGCTGCCTGCTCACCTGCTCCACCATTCCACATCAGTCCTGCTCTTGTCTGGGCCCATTGTGGCTGGCAGTACCTCCAATGCCACCTGCTGCCAATGCCGCATTGCCGACACCCGCCATGTTCCGTGCTACCCCCTGGTGATCAGTGCATGTCATAGTGAGCGGTTGAACTTTTGGTTGAACTCCTGGTTAAACAATTCACATACGAGGCTTTTATTATATAGGATAGCTATTCTGACAGGTGTGGTTTTAATTTGCAATTCTCTGATAATTTGTGACATTGAACATCTTCTCATATGTCTATCGGCCATCTGTATGTCCTCTTTGGAGAAGTGTCTTTTTGGGTGTTTTGCCCATTTTTAAATTGGATTTTTTTTTTTTAGGGTTGATTTTTATAAGTTTTTTTTTTTATATATAAATTTTGGATATTAACCCCTTATCAGATGTATCAGTGAATATGTTCTCCCATTCAGTAGATTATCTTTTCATTTTGTTATTTAGTAACATGTTATTTAGCCTCCATATTTTCTTCTTGTAATTGATTTCAAGTTTCATAGCCTTATGGTCAGATAAGATACTTGATATGCTTTCAGTATTCTTAAT